TATATTAACATTCTATTATATATATTTAAATTACTTTAGAATCAATTCGTTTTACAGTATTTACTGTATTCAAGATTATGCATGAAATAAAATTTGATTGCCTTTTTTTCAATAGTTATTAAAAGATTAAATATCTAAATTCGCATGTTATTCTATTATATTTATAGGATTACATTCTTCAATCGCTTTTTTTTTTATAAATATATCTATTGATTAGAAAATACACCATAATAAGTAATCTCACAAATGTATAATTCTGAAACCAACACCAAAGTTTAAAAATTACATTTAATATTATTAAAGCATTTTTTTAATGCATATATTCTAGCAATAATTCAACATATCTTATTATAAATAATAAATACTAATATATTTACCTCATATATATATATATATTTTCCATTAAGACCACATTTTAATCGTTTCTAAGATCTTAAGAAATCTTTATTAATCACTGTCAGATTCTGATTCTGACAGCTGTAAATCCTCATTTAATAAATTATTTGGCATTAGTGAAGTTGGTGATAAAGTTGTATTATTAGGATGACCTAGAAACAAAAATGTTTCATTATTGCATTAATTGTCAAGCCAGATTTGCATGATACTCTTAGTTTAAATTATAATTTTCAATTGTTAAATAGAAAATAGTGATATAACTCAACAGTGTATTAAATAATGTATTAAAACTTACCATTAGTCACTGTTGATACAGGAGCATTTCCAGTATCAGAATCACTATCTGAACTATCTGAACTTGAACTTCCTGAACTTGAATCGCTAAGAGGTGGCATTGGTGGCATTGGTGGCATTGATGGCACTGCTGACGGTGGCATTGATGGCACTGCTGACGGTGGCATTGGTGGCATTGGTGGCATCATAAGAAAATCATCATTTTCTGAACTAATCATTGGAAGGCTAGCCAAAGTTGACTGCGTTGTCGATGATTGCATTGACAAACTGTTAAATTACATAAATAAAAAATTATTTAAATATAGATATAACAAACAAAATTCATTCTTTTCTAATATTATAATAATTAGTACTTATGTATTAGTTAATACCTATCAGATGTTGGATTTGGTGGACTTTTTCTATGATACGGTGATATTCGAGGACTGCTTTGCTTTGGATGCAATTGCGTGACACGATCCTTCTTCTTACGATTCACAACTCTTGACTTATTAATAAGCTTGTTATGCGTAGGACTTTTCTTAGTTTCCACAGGTGTAATAGGTCTATTATTATTATTAATACTACTACTACTAGTACTACTATTATTTGTGGTAGAAGTTCCCAAATGCAATTGAGACTTTGGTTCTGTTCTAAAAAACGTAAAGATTAATAGAGACAATTAATAAAGATTTATAAAATAGAAAAGATATCAAGTTAAAAAGTAATCTAGTAAAGTCATACCGAGTTTTTTTAACTTGAATATTGGCAGATAATTTTTCTAAAGTTATTTCTCCTGTTTTTCTATCAATAATAAGAACACAATCTTTATGGTGAGGCCTTTGAGAGCCTTTGAACACTGTATGAGGAATACCTGCTCCGTCTAAATGTGGAACGGTAACCATCATCGTATTATTTGTTCCAACATCTACTCTTGCCATTTTAGACACATCTACACTTGCTGGCTTAAAATCATCTAAAAAATGAAAACGAAATTTGCATAAATATAAAGAGAATTATATATAAAATGAACAGAGTAAAAAAGAAATATGGAAAGTAGAATAAACAGATGATCACTTACATTTAAGCGTATGGAATGCTGTTGACTTATTATTAGTAAAAGAAGGCCCTAATTTCAATTCTCGAACTTCAGGACCTAAACCAAGTCGTTCAGCCATGCTGAATCTATCAGATTGAGAATTACGATCAGCAATACGGGATGCAGTCTTCATTCTAATCAGTATAATCAGTCTTGTTAGATACCACAGAGATATTTATTATAACACCATTTACAGATCACTTATCATCGTACCGTATGCATCAAACACTGTTGTGGTAAAATATGGTAGAAAATAAACGCAGTACGTTAGTATGAGTTTTGATCAAATTTCACTTTTGAATGTTTAGAATATGATAAAATGGAGATTCAATATAATAAAAGATTCTTACATAAAATACGATGACTTGAATAATGAGATAAACAGGAAGAAAATCAAATCCTTTCTTCTACTCTTCTAATTTGACTTCACACAAGATCCCATTGACCTAATTTTATAGCAAATTAACCAATCAGCAAAACTGGAAAGTTTTTACTAAAAGTAAGACTGCCTTAGAAAGAACTCTAACGTAGTATAAATTATGATACCATGTATGAACATAATGAACAATCTATTTCCGTTTCCCCAAATAATTCAATTGGTTATAAACAATGAAAATAAAATCTCCCATTCGCTTATTGCAACCAATAAACAGATTTCACACTGCAGCAAATTGCAAGAAATAAAATAAAGCTATTCAATTAATCGCGTAACGTGAGTGCTTTTATTTGACATTTCGTTGTTGGTATCACTGAATTCTAAAAATATATTTCCTCTCCACCAATCACGTTGCTCTATAACAATACGAATTTCCAATTACGGAAATGAAAAAGATAGGAATAAATTCTCATATATTTATCTAAAAGAAAGAAATTTGTATTTTACAAATTGTTATTTTATAACTTTAGTGCTTTACAATTATATTATTATGATATTACGAATCTCTTAAAAATTACGAAATTGTCGTAAGAAAATAATGCAATATTGCAATTGAACGATTCGCGCGCCAAATTTGAAAAATAATTTATAATTATATTTTTCTTATTTATTAACGAAATAAATATATAAATTAATTAAGAGATTCTTGACTTAGAACAAATTATATATTATTAAAAAAATTCATTATCCCCTAATACTCATATAATTTCTAATTTTATCATTAATCTTTTTGATGTATTAATTGTCAAAATAGTTTAATTATCGTTTATTATTATTTATTATTTCCGAGAAATGATTGAGTTACAATTTGTAGTTAATCGAGTATTATATTCCTAAATATTCTCTGTTTTAATTAAATTAATATATTAGGATATCTTGTAATAGATTAAATTTCTTGCTGGCAGTCAGTTTGTGTCAGTTTTCAATATTGTTCATTTATAATGGCGGATCGTTGTTCCCCTTCCATGTTTTGTAACACACCCCGCATGTTTGTGTCATATCCCTGTATTTCTAAGTCCGTATACTTAACATAAAATTAGTTTTTAACAATCGGGAGCAATGAAAATCTAAATTATGAATAGTTTTTATAGAAAGTTATGCGATTATATTGAAAGTATTGTACTGATACATACTTTTATTCAGAAATAAGTGAAATGTAAAAAATCGATATTCGTTCATTCATGCTGATTCCTAAATAAGTTAATCGTCATTAAATTTAATCCAAGTAAAATTCATGTTAAGTTTGAGTGTTCTTAGAAATAATGTGTTAAAAACAATGTGGTTGATAAATTGGATGGTACTTGTGGATTAGTAGATGAAAAATTATGCAGACTTCTTTGAAGATTGATAAATATTAATAAAATAATAATACTATTGGAATTTCGTCAAAATGAAAAAATTATGGGCTTACATTTTATTTGAAGTATGGATGTCTTATTTGATGACAGCCGGACTTTTAGTGTTTACCAGTGGTTTTCTTCTTAATCGAGTATCTAGACCAGAACGGGCAGAATGCAAGTCTTGCACAGCATCTGAAGATTGTAATATAAATAATATATTTCAAGATACGCAGCATGCTGCTACAATTTGTTTAGAACCCAAAGCTAGAGTCGTGCTCCTTGTAGTCGATGCCTTAAAATATGAATTTGCTACTTGGTATAACGACAATGCTTCAATGACATCCTATCATCGTAATAAATTACCAATAATTCATGAACTCTTAGAAAAAAAGCCTTTGTATACTCGTTTGTATAAATTCATAGCAGATCCCCCAACAACAACGATGCAACGTCTTCAAGGTCTTACTGCAGGATCTTTACCTACATTCATAGATATCGGTTCAAATTTTGCTTCTGGAACTATTGGCGAGGACAATCTTATTGAACAAACTGTTAGTAAGGGTGTTATTTTTATGGGCGATGATACTTGGACTAATTTATTTCCTGAAAAATTTAAACGTCAGTTTCCTTCTCCGTCATTTAATGTATGGGATCTTGATACTGTTGACCGGGAAGTCAGATATAGAATTTTCTTTGAAATGAAAAAAAATGACTGGTCATTACTTGTAGCGCATATTCTTGGAATTGATCATTGTGGACATAAACATGGTTCGCAGCATCCAGAGATGACTAGAAAATTAAATGATACTAACAACCTCATAAAAGAGATTATTGATTTTCTTGATAAAGATACAATATTATTTGTTGTTGGAGATCATGGTATGACAGAGAGTGGAGATCATGGTGGAGATAGTCCTAATGAGACGGAGGCTGCTATGTTTGTATATTCAACTATTCCTCTTCTGCATCAGGATTTAATTAAAAGAACTGAAAGTGTAAATCAGATCGATCTTGTTCCAACATTAGCATCAATTCTTGGAATACCAGTACCATTTTCTAATTTAGGATCTCTGATATTAAACTCTTTACCAGGGAATCAAAATCCAAAAAATTATTCGCTTGATCAATTAACGTATCCATTGCATAGTCTCTGGAGAAATATTGTTCAGACAAAAAATTATATAGATGTCTATGCTGCTGATACAAAATCGTTTACTAAAGTTCAGTTACAAAGATTAGAAGATATGTATACATTTCTATCCAGTCAAATCGATAGTATAAATAATTTAGATGAATTTAAACATTTTATAGAAAATTCTAAACATTACTTTAAGGAACTTAAAGACATATGTTCAGAAGTTTGGGTACAATTTGATTCTAAATTAATGTCAAAAGGATTAATTTTAATGTTTTGCACTTTATTCTTTTTTTATTTGATTATAAATGGTATTCCTGAGAATCGTATGTCTACAATACTTAATTCTTCATTTTTGAATTGCTCAATGTTAATAAATTTAGCAACCGTTATGATAGTTATCTCCTTGTTCTATTTAGATATTATTACAGATTTAAGAAACACTATATTTGTGGCGACTGGCGCAGTTTCTATTTTACTTTTACTTGCATTAATTATTCCAAATTGGGATGTAATTTCTATGAATTTTTATAATTACAGTAAATTTAATTTATTGGCTTTTTTAAGTAAAATAATACTCATATTAACTTTTTGTGGCTTATTTTCTAATAGTTATATTGTTGAAGAAGATAATGTATTATCTTTTCTATTAGTTACATTAATTTGCTTACTTGTTTATAATGTAAGAGAAAAAAATGAAAGAAAAATAAAGACATTTTCCAAGCAATCAGAAAAATCAAATTCTAATACAATTATAGTCATCATTGTATTCTTAGCTTGTGTTTCTATCAGATTATCATATTATTTTTGGCAATGTCGTGAAGAACACCAAGATCGTACTTGTTTCATGTCTGCGAGTAATAAAATTGGTTCTTTCATACCACAAAATATAGAACGTAGTTTATTAGTCGTCACTTTATTTGTGCTTGCATCGTACATTACAATTGTTAGAATTTGGCTGCGGAATTGTGGGAATTTGACAGGCTTTTCGCTTAGCATTATTGTAGGGCAATATTGTCCAGTGATTAGTGGTGTTTGCATCGGATGTTATTGGGTTTTACAAAGACTTCCAAAATTATCTAAAATGAAATTATCTCTTTCTTGGCAAATGAATGCATTACCAAATATGGTGTATGTGATATGTTTATTCTCTATATTTATCCTCTATTATCGGCCACTTAATGTATACTTATTACCAAAAAAGAAAGAATCAATAAATATTTATCAACGGGAAAATATAATTCCCCAATTGTTTGAAAAAATAAAGGAATCGGTATGTCAAAAAGAAACGAATATAAACGAAACTCCAGTTGTTTATGGTTTAGGTACAGTGTACAGTGCTGCATTTATTTCACTGAACACTTTTCTTACACTGTTATATTCTTTATTGTTAGGCGATATGTTATCTCCTAGTACCTTTTTAATGTTTATCACATGTATCTCAGTTTTGAGTTTATCTGCTTTGGAGAGGTATAACCATGCAACCAGTGCCTGTGAGTATTTGGGAATATGTTATGCTAATGTAATTACTAGTCTTTCATAGTATATTATTTCTGTGTTATAAACAGCTGATCTTGTCAATGTACCTACCTCAACAATTCTTTGCTGGTTTCTGATAGCAGAATACTTCTTTTATGGAACTGGTCATCAAGCATCATTTCCTAAAATTCAATGGGATGCTGCTTTTGTGGGAACAGGTGGCCATTTTCATGGAAATTTATTACCAGCAATTCTTATTGGTAAATCTTAATTAATTTATAATTTTAATTTAATTTTTTACATGTCTTTTTCAATTCTGAATATTAAAAAACATAATGTCTGTACATAGGGATCAATACATTTGGATCACACATTATATTGGGAGCAATGTTACCTCTATTAGTGATTGTTCCATTTACGCTATATCTCATATTCCCAAATTTGTGTAAAAATAAACTTTTTGAAGATAACATGAAAAGAGGTGAACTAGTATTATATGAACAGGAATCTTTTTTCCATGGGGCTATATTTTCTGCCTCAGGAAAGTATATAATGTTTCATGGAATCAGAGTAAGTTGTTATATTATTAATAATTTGATATAAATATTTGAGTAAAATTCGTTTGATTTGTTTAATTACAAATTTTTCAGACTTTTGGTTCCATGCTTTCTGCAACAATTCACTGCCGACATTTAATGATTTGGAAAATTTTTGCACCAAAGTTAATATTTCAAGGTTTAGGATTTTTAGTAACCTTATGCAGTGTATTGGCATCACTTTATATGGTATTAAGAATTGATCGACAAGTTGAACGATTAATAAATCGCATCATAAAACATAGGTGATAATATATTTGAAGAAAATACTGTACAATTTGATAATAAAAGGTTCAGAAGTTTGTCTTTCTATGCAAACTGATAAAATTTGAGCATATGAGGAGACAATAAATAAAAAATTGTCTAAATTTCTGAAAGAAGGTATACCTTCATAGCTTTGTACAATAAAAGTACTATATAGTTCAAACATATACATATATATATATATAATAAACATTGTTGAAAATTGTATATACCTGCCAGAGTGAGAAGTATATTACTAAGTATTAAATATTAACAAGGTATAGGTTTTGTATTTAAAAATTTGACTCACTAACAATTATTGATAATTCTCAATAATCTAACTTACTTGAATGCATAACAAATTGAAGTTTCTCTTCTAATGTATATGTTAAAAATAGAAAAAGAAGAAAATATTCAAATAAGCAAATAATATATATTAAATTTTGATTATATGTATATTATTGAACTTTGATATAGCGATACTAGATCGGGGTAGTTAATGTGATAATTTTGTAGAGATAATAAGTAATGATTAAAAAAGAAAAGTGAAATTGCCTTTAGATAAGATTATAAATATTTAAATACTTCATATTGCTCTGAAAAGCGCACGAATGTATTTTAGCTACGGAAAAATCTAAAACAGAAAAACTTGTGATCAAACTACAGTCAGTCATATGTTTAGTGCAATCTTTTAGATTAATTTATCTTTAATTTCTATAGATGAATTCTATGCAGAATTATGTATACGTTATGTGTACTTACCAGTACTGCCAATATTTCTAAAATTTTCTACGAAGTTGTAATTAAGCTATATTAATAAGAACTTCAAAACATCTGTCATAAGTCACGGTGCTTCCTAACACATTAACGCTACCCTGCGTGCAATGCATTGCTGATTGCAGAATAACGTAACAATGCACTTGATGCAGGATTGTGTTTATGTGTGTGTTATTATGCCCTAGAGTCATAAAATGTAGTCATCAGAAGTTACTCTTATGACACAAGCTATTTGTGATGAGCGATAAAAAATAAGAAAAGTATGCGACGAAAAATTCTTGCATACATACTTCAGGGAAATAATAAAAATTAAGTAAACTTTAATACTTCACATATACCTGCAGATAATATTCATTGTTAATAAAAATTCAACTATCTATATGACATTTTTTTTTGTAACACAACATTATTCTCATCTTTATTATTTCCTAAATATTGTTCATCGACTAACAAAGTTTAAATAATTATTACAATGAAATAATTAGTTAAGTCTGCCGGTTGTATTTCTTAATTGTTTTTAAAGAATTTTATTTATAGAATCGAAATCTTCTACACGATTTAATTTTAACTTAGTATTTCGAATTTTGAGATATAATAATATATTAATCAATTTTTGAAATGACTTAAAAATAATGATGATGATGACGATGCTTGCCTTCCTTGCGTTTGTTCATAATATAATCCATCCACTTAACATATTTTTTAAATTTCTCTATATTTTCTCTTTGCTCATCAATATCCTATGACATACGAATAACACGTTCATTTGTATTGCATATATATGAAAAATTACTCGATCATTACTTCATTATAAAATTCATATTTTTGTATACTTTGAATCCCATTAATTAAATAGATCAAAATATTATTATGATCATAATATTACATAAAGACAAATGGTGAACTTACGTAATCGAAATCGGTATTTTCCTTGTCATATTTCTGTGACAATTCCGCGGATTGGCTCAGATCCGATTTATCTTGTGGATAATTAAAATTATTTCCTGTTCGTGAAGGATATTGAAAATTATTTGCAGGAGCGTGTCGTTTAGCAACGGTATGTGTACTCTCCGGATAAGAAACCCAAAATGAAGTTGCGCTTGGTGTCGATCGAGCTACTTTTTTGCCAGCACCTTTCGATGCAGCTGCTGGATATTGAATACTTTGTGCTAAACTTTGCTTAATGACATCCAACAGAGATTGATTCAACAAATTATCGTCGGTAGGTGCCAAAGGTTCGTCGATGAAATTCGGCGGTTGAACATCACTTTGTGTGTTCAGTTCGGACTTCACGGTTTCTAAAATATTTGCTGATACATTTTTTTGCAATTCTAGCAACATATCGAACATTTGATCAAGAAATTGCATTTTTTGCTTGTACAGTAACATCGTATCTGCTGTTGGCTTCATCCACATGCTTGGTAGAAATGGTTTCTTTGGTACCATCGACGAAGACACGCTCGAAGATTTTTGATAAGCTATCGTATCGTTTAGAACCGAGATCATTTCGTCTTTCAAACTACTCAATTGCATTAGTATCGAATCTACGAAAGCATCTTTAGCAGCGAGTATTGAAGATACATCCTCGATCGATCTTGCAACTCTCGGAGCAGAAACCGGAGATGATGTTTCGTCCTCGGCATTAGTCTTGTTCAATGTTAAATTCTCGAATAATTTATCCAAAAAGGAGGATATCTTGTCGTTGTATTCCGTTGGATCGGCAAACGGTGAGCTTGGAATCCAAAATTCAGGTGGTACGATTGTACTCTTTGGTGTCGTATCGGCAAAAATCGGAGCAGCGGTAGAAGTTGCAAGATTTTTAAATAGTGTGTCCAAAAAGGAATATTTTTTGTCTATGAACATCGATGGATCAACAGCAAATGGAGAAAACATTCCTGGAAGATATTCCTTTACCTTTAACTTATCATTAATCTTGTCTTCGGGTGTTTCACTTTCTTCCGATTTCGAATCGTTATCGCTCGTAGATGAGTTGGGATCTTTTACTTCAGTTTTATCATTAGACGCTGTATCTTTCGATGAAGGTTCCGGATCGTTTGCGAGCAAGGTTGTACTTCTCTTAGTTTCCTGTGACGGTAGTAGCGGAGATTTAAATTTCGAAATTCCGTATAGTTGAGCAATGTCATTTAACTTCGTCTCAGCGGAATCGCTTTGATCATCCACCGTAGGATATTGCAAAAAACTGCTTGGTAATAACTTGGAACTATCCGCAGCCAAGGGAACTGTACCGATTCCACCGAAGAGATTGCTCAATAAATCAGTCTTTTTAGAAATCATATCTTTAGGATCAACGAATTTTGGAAAGAACGGCGATTTGGACATGTACGGTATGCTTATGGTGCTAAATCCAGATACACCAGGTACAGGTGGTCCAAGTGACCTCGAATAAACTGAAGTTTAAGATAATAATTAATTCTTTTCGAAATGGACCCGAGAAATTCCACAAATATATACATATATATATAAATATATATATTTACCTGATTTCGAAGCAAAGCTTGCCCATGGTGCCGAAGGTGGAATTACTTTAGACGTTACGTTGTTCAACGTAACAAATAAAAAGTAAGAGAGTATTGATAGAACTACTGATTGTCGCGACATGGTTCTATAAAATGATTCGATCTTCGTTAAGATAGCTATATTTAAAGGGTTCACAGATCGATAATATTTGCAAAGTCTTAAGGATTACGATCCGTGGAACAATCTAATTAGAATAATCTCTTTTTTATTGTACATACGTTGGTATAATGTGTATGTAAATATATATCTACGTACTACATACGGATTATAATTAGTCGATAAGACTTTCCTTTCTAAGTGCACTTGTCTTCTTACGATTTCATTCTCATAAGCTGGTATTTTAAGAGTTATGCATATATTATATTTAGCAAAGCTTTCTCCGCGGAACGTAAGACTCATTTATCGTACCATTTGTTAATTTACATTTTCCATCTTTATTTATACCATCCAAACTGTAGGCGGAATGAAAAATTTGTCATTATTTTTTCAATACACCCAGGACAAAATTTAGAGAGGGACAGGATTAAATAGTTTTATGAAATTACTTTTGAATAAAACTAATTATAAGAATAAAACACAAATAAAAGGATTGATAAATAAATTGTAGATTAATTGACCATGTTATTCGCTTTATTGATTTTTCGATGGACTTGTAACAAAAAGTTTTGATATTTTAACCATATCGAATAACGAATGCTTAATGCATTTAAAGATATTATATTCATTAATTATATATAGAATATTAATATATAAACACTTAACTGTACATAATGTATGCTTGAAATAATAATACCGGTTTCTACAAATGTTCATTAATAAGGAAAAGAAGAAAGATAGAGTTGAGACAAATTTACATTACTAAATAATAAAAATTGAAACAGTGATAAGGTAAACATCTAAATATTAGTTCATACTAAAAATAATAATGTATCAAGATATTTGGCACGCACATCTCTTTGAGATGATTCCCCTCTTTTTAATCTCATTAAAAAGAATTTCGAGAATATTCACTCGTGACTAATGTAAAGTCTAAATGACAATAATGAATGTTTTTTTAATAGATATTCTTAATCGTTAAGCCTTAATTATTTACCCTAAAAATTATAAACCACCGAATCTTTTTCGGAGAAAGATCCAATCGGCTCATATATTCGTTTACTTGTACCCATTGTCAAGAAATATTTTGTGACATATTTATATATGTATATATATATATATATATATATATATATATACACGTAAATATATATATACATATATATATTTACGTATATATAGATACGCACAACCGAATTACGACTAATGTAGAAAAATGACTCGTAAAGTATCATCGTATCACTTTTTTTTTTTTTGTGTTTGTTTTCTAACTAATTGTAAGATAAGAAATGTTGATCAAAACGTCATGACAACAGTGTCGACAATATTATTCATCATTTTATCGTTATCTACCGTTTTGTTTAGTTCTCTATTACCCTTATATTCGTGTACTATTCTAAAGGCAGGAGCATGCAAAAATTAGCCACCGACATAGGCCAGCAACCGTAAGCGTTTCAAATAGAACATAATCGCTCGTGCTGCCGATATTGTCATTATGGGATCGTCAATAATTAGAGAAAATCGTGCGTCGTGAATCGGGAATAAAGTGAAAATTAATGATACTCCTCCAAAGGGGGGGGATCATCATCTTCTTCTTTTGGTTGGTCTTTGGAGGAAATATATATACTTCTATTCAAAAAATGTAATATAAATGGTACTATTACGATTGTTAACTATTATTCCGATATATAAACATTCTTTCGTATTTAATTTTTTATTCTTTCCTTTTTTTATTTATTTGTTTACTTTTTTTTTTCTTTTCTTTTTTTTTTTTCTTATCTTTTAGTATCCCCGTATCGTATCTTCGAGTATCTTCTTTACGTCCCATACGAAGTAATTGCCTTCGAACTTAAATTCTATTTTATCTAGGCAGTTGTTTCCAATTTATCTTGTTAATTACAGGCAGGACCGGTGTTCCCGTTATTAGCCTAAAATGATCCATTCAATGACATGTGAGATTAAAAATGAACATTTGATATCGAAGATTAGAAGTTAATTAGATAACGATTATTTTTAATAATAACGTAAGGATTGAAATGCTTTGGGTAAGTGAATAGATCTTATTCGTCATATCGATCCAAAACGCTACCTTTAGATTTGCTTGACTACCGTAGAACGATGTGAAAGCTGTGTCGGAACTGACGCTAAGGGGTAAACTCGTAGCATCAATCGTTTCTCTCTCGCTACCAAGAGTGGACGCTCTTATGTCAAGAGTACCGCTCACTGCTGACATACCGGAGCTCGTTGCCATTTCCACTTCACCCACATCGCCGTGCGACATGTGTCTTAAAATTATATCACTTTAATCGACGCTCGGTCAATTATTTGCCAACATTTTACAATCCTTATTTCTTAATTGCTAAGTATTATTATTAATATTATTATTATTATTATTATTATTATTATTATTATTATTATTATATTCTTAAATCCTAAATCAATTTCACTTACCCTACGAGATTTTCGTTATAAAAAATTATTTTAATTATATTATTATTTTAACGCATATTATTATTATTATTATTATTATTATACAATATAGAACTTCGATGATTTTTAAATTAAATTAAGATAAAATGAAAATATATGATTACGTTGAAATTAAAAAAAAAAAAAAAAGAAAAAGAAAAATGAGTAAACGTTGAACTCTACCTGTAATCTGGAGCAGGAAGTTCGATGTGTTGCCTTCGTGAGTTCGATGACATCGGTGTCCTCTTTATGGCATAAATATATATGCCTGTCATTATGAGCGTGTAGGAGACAAAATACAAGGCGTGAAACTGGAACAAAGCAAACAACGTTCGTTCTCTCTCTCTCTCTCTCTCTCCGGGTTTTCTAACCGCATGCATTATTCGTGCAAAGGGTCATATTGTGCTTATTAATTACTCGTGTAGATCATAAATTTGAGTAAATAGGATGTCGTAATTTTTTCCTCCCTTTCGTTCTTTTTCTTTTTTTTTCTTTTTTTTCTTTTTTATTAAATTATTTTACCTTATATTGATGTATCAGCATGCCTGATAAAATGTTGAAGGAATCGGCAGTTAAAAGAGCCAATTGCAATGCCGTTGCACCGGATTCATCTAATACGACAGGAACGAGTGAGAAAAATACGAATTGTATGATGCAGTAAGTCATCAAGAACGTAATGACGTGTACGTTGTCCCACTGAAACGATTCGATTTGAAGTCTTTCAAGGATGGCTCTAAAATCAAAGGGATTTGACGGAAAAATACATAGATGAAAGATTAATTGATCGTTATATCGATAGGATAAATCTAAACGAGACAATGACATTGACTTACATTTGCATACAACTCAATATCGTCCCGAAGAAACCAATCATACCCAAGTACTCGATAATATCGACCGTTTTAACAGCCAATTCTTGAAGTACCGTAGTTATCGAGAACAAAACGGCACCACCGAGACAAAGCATGTCGCCGACTAATTGATTTTTACCTTTTGCATATAAATTCATGATAAACGTAATATCGATTTTCCTTTTTTTCTTTTTTCATTTAATAAAGATCGATAAGAAATGAAGATATAAACGATAATGAAATTATACAATAGGATGATATTGATATTTTGTCAATAATTACCGGTCGATGCTGGATCCTTATTGTCGTGAATTCCCGCCCAAACTAAACATCCTACACCCATCAGACATATAGAAACACCAACGATGTGAACCATCCTGTATCTTACTCCGAGAACTAAACACGAAAGTGCCAATGCCACTGGTATAGCAACGCAATCGAGTAACTGAAAAACATTTCAATGAATTTTTAATATACGAATAATTGATATTTTGTATTTATTTAATTATAAATTCGATATAACAGAATATTGATATAAGTTGGGTTCCCTTCAACAAAAATATTATCCACGAGGTAAGGGATGGTTAATCATTGTCCTGGAAAATTAATCAGTTTAATGAGATACTTAGTTTACCTGTATACTGGCGAGGCTGGTGAACTGATGGGAAGATGTAATAAGCGTGCACGCTTCAACATCTATGAGCGCTAACAGCAAGTACCTCCAACCACGGGCTTTTATAACAGATATTAGACCATTTCCAACACCCCTACAGGACATCCACGTTGTGTATACTAAACACATCATAGCGTAGTGCGGCAAATTTTGTCCTGTCTCGGAAAAAAAAATCTTCCTTGATTCTTGAAAATCATCGTAAATAATAATAAAAAGATTCATTCGAATAATATCATTTATTGCATCGTTCCGATTTCGAATATTTTTGTCTTGTTCTTTTTCTTTTTTTTTTTTTCAAACTAACAACTTACCTGTTGGTATTGATAACTGGAAAGTCGTGTTGATGTGATGATTGCATAGTGTCATGGAGCAAAGTATAAATGACAAGAATTGGCCCATTATTATTGCACGCCATACGGCCCTATAAATATAGAAAGAAAAAAAAAAGAAAAAAAAAAAGAAAAATTAATTATTTCGAGAGAAAATATAAATGATAAATAACAACATATAGAGAGCTGATTTTTAATCGACTATTACAATCGTTAGCGAAACTATTAATAAAGAAAAAAAGCAAATCCTCTCTCGTCGAATATTAATCGATCAAATTTGCGAAAAGATAAAGGAGAAAAAGAAAAAAAAAAACAAAAAGAGGAGAAAAAAGAGAAAAACAACAAAAAATAAAAAAAAAAATAAATCTCGTCCGTTCAAACAAAGTGAGAAAAAAGAATAAGAAAAAGAAAAAGAAAGGGTAGAATTTGTTTCAAAGATATAAGCAGAAAAAAAGCCGACGTTATTATAAATCGTGAAAACACCCGCCACTTTCGTTCCTGGAGCGTATCCCTCCTCACCCCTTTAGCATTAACGTATGGAACACCGGTTAGAGGGTGAGAAGATATCACTGCACCTCTTGACCATTTAATTCCTCGATAATGGATAATTCGCACGTACCAATGTCCAAGTTCGGATATATAATTTTCAATTTTGTCGCAAACTCCGTTCCTGGGCTGCATCGTTGAATTTTGAACACCGTGACGATCGCCCATTGACACTCCCATGCCATGGTGGTGCATCTTCGCCCCGGGCCTTTTAACCGGCGCCTAACAGAAGCGCTTGCGCGACCTCCTTCCCTCCATTTACACAACGAATAACATATATTTCTCTTATTTCAGGGAAACATCTGGGGGATACGTGTATCGGTTCTCTATTGCTTTTGCGCCGTTGATGACGCCCGATGATGACGACGACTACCATATCTCTTTTCTCATGGCTTTATCTTATTTTTTTTCTTTTTTCCTTTCGCTTGAAATTTAATCGAAATCGAGAAAAATCCTATTTTTCTTTCCTATTCTTTTCTATTCTTTTTTTTGTTTTTTTTTTTCAACGAATATGATTTTTTGAACTAAATCATTAATTTTTCTGCGCTTATCGTTTTGGTGTTGTATATTTTCTTTTTTTTTTATGCCAGGTTGGTAAACGAACGAACACATTTACAAGAAATAACGTGCGATAAAGAAGTAGTTCTTTCTTTATTCTTCGAAATTTTTATCTTGACGTAGAATTTTATGTACAATATATATATATATGTGTGTGTGTGTATATATATATGTATTGTACATAATATGTATTGACATTTACGGACAAACCGTAAAAGAGAATTCAATCATCGATCGTTCTCAAAAAGATTTCCTTTTTATGTTCCTTTTTTCCTGCTTTCTTTTTTATTTTTATTTTTTTTTTCTTTCATTTTGATATCTTCGAGAAATACACGCGACTTATGATTTAATGATATAAACTTTAAACGCGATCAACTAACTTACATCCTAAATTGCGTCACACCGCAAACGCTCTCTCACCCCACTATAATAATAATATTATATTATAATAATAGATTTATATGCACGGATCGATTTTGGTCGGTTATCGACGTAAGAGAAGAAGGCAATTATAACACTATGAATATGTTGATTTGTGCAGTCGTTTTTTGTATATCTTATATCTTCATTTTTTGTTATCTTTTTTCTTTTTTTTTTTTGCTTGTCTCTTGTCTTGTTTGTTTCCTTGTATGTATGTATGTATGTATGTATTTTTTTTTTTATATATCGATTGATACTAAAGTTGTACTGGTCGAAGATTTCCATCATTCGATTAAATTTACTTATCTAAAAAACATGAAATATCGCCGAACGTACCATCTCGTAGCTACGATTACAAAGTTGGAAAAATATGTTGTAACTTTTAATCAACATTCGACGTATTTTTACTTCCTAAGTGTTTTCTGTGTGTGTATGTATGTGTGTGTGTGTGTTAGGTCGCGCGATATAACACAGAATTGTATTTCAGAATTGAATTATGCCACATACGTTGAATGGAGATATATATGAATGAATATATATATCACACGTCAATGTAAAGTGATATTAAAAATTGTTCAAATTAAAATATTAGCAATTTCCAAAAATATATATATCATCGAATCTTGGCCCACTTGTTAAGAATACAATGTTATTTTGGAAACGCTCGCTAGCCAAAATTTTCTTTTGGGAAGTAGAATTAAGTCGATCGAATTGATCACGTCACGGATGTAAAATATATAACATAAAAAAAAAAAATTAAAAAAAAAAAAAAAACAAAAGAAAAAAGATTGCTCATTTATTTCTTCTTAGTTTCCTCTTCTACCGCTTCGTTCTGTTTACGGAAGCAATCACCGACAGGGAAGAAATCCCAACATCTTTGTTGGTACATATTCCAAACGTAAGTTTCTTGACCCGTGTATTCTGTATCTGGTTTGTTGATTAGATGCATCAGGAAGAACCTAATGATAATGTAACGAATTTGATATATTATTGTTAATTAGTACAAATCTTTGAAAAAATACAAAGAAAAGTATTGAGACAATAATCTTACATATAATTAGCTAGATTGTGTTCTTGTTGAACGTGGGTGTCAAATCCGTGTGGTACCGTGTCAAAATATTCTTTTCCTAAACCACATATGAAACAATTGCTTTCCATATTCGTTTTGACGTTTTCCAGCTGGTCACGAAGTTCACCAAAAGCGTCGATGATTAAACCTAACAAATTAAGATATATTAAAATATTTCTAAATAAATATTAATAATACGTATACGCGTTATAAAATTACCTTGAATAATAGCGAGAAGAATAACGATGACGAAGAAAAAGAATGTAATGTCAAACATGATACGATAAACTTCATAATCATCGCCATCTGGTTCCCCGATTTCGTCACCGATACCACCACCGGCTCTTACACCTTTGTATAAGTGAAAAACGAAACACTGAAAATAAGAAAAAATAAATATCATTTCGATTTAATGAATTCGTACACATCGTGAGATACGAATATTTTTATTACAGATATTTGAATTATTCACATACCGTTAACATGTCGTGACACTTTTTGTCAACTTCGTCGTCTTCCTCTTGAATATAAAATTTTCTAAAGAAATTGAAGGCTATCACGGTATAAATGTATACTACGATTGTTAACAACATTACTGTTAGCACCAATTGTTTTCCGTTGTGCGTTACGGACTGTAAGATAGTTCTCAATGTTTTGAAACCAACCGCAACGTCGAGCAGATGGGCAGCAAAGAAAAAGTTATTGTAATTTCCCAAAATCGAAAATGTGAAGTACCAGAGACTGTATAGAAATGCCTAAAAAAGAGAGAATATATATTTTTAAATTAATATATAACACATTTTATATTCGCGTGTCGTAAAAATAATTATTTTTCTTTCTAATATTTCCTTACATTATCTGTGATAGTGACACCAGCTTTCCATACTTGATATCTCCAATCGATATTTACGATACTGTATAAAAAATATAAAAAACAAAATAATGATGAGAGATCAAGAAAATAATTATAAAAATTATTATATATTATTCATGAGAATATTGCAACTTACAAATGTATCAAACCAGAACCTTCTTCCTCTTGTTGACTGAAAGATGTCTTTTCCATGCCGAGCAAATTACTGATGTAATCGAAATCGTACGTTTCGCTATACTTTTGTCTAACTTTCTTTTTGACGAATTTGTCCCAATAATTAACGGGAAACGTTTTAGCCGATATTACCATTTTATCCCAATGTGCTTTGATGTCATCCTCCTCGGGACTTTCGGCAATGTACAAACCATCGAACTCGACACGACGGGCAATTTCTTTTTCACGTTTGAATATGGCTAACGGTACCTGTGTATATCCAAAATGATCATTTATAATATTATAATTAAAAGAAACAAGATTAATGATTATAAATTCATTTAGATTACTCGATTCGTACTTTAAGATGATAATATGCTACAAGCATGGCTAAAGAAACGATAGAATGTAATGCAGCCATTAGCCTCATAACGTGTGCCATATAATAAAAATCTTCCGAAACTTCAACGAATTCCATAGGATCTTCCTCTTCCTCTTCGGAATCATTTTCACCGCTACCACTTCCAATTTCTAAACCGCTACCTCCTGAACCAGATGAACCTTCTCCCGACATGTCAGCTAATATATCAGCCATGGCATCCCCACTACCTTCATCGTCGGAATCCCCAGCTAGAGATGTGACCTATACAAATATCGTATTTAATAAATATTATAAAATAAATCGTATAAAAACAAAACATCGTAATCTCATAAATCATAAATTGATATAACATATAATCACACAAATTTGTCCTTACCTTGTAGAATAGTAGCATGAAATTTATACAAAAGGCAAGAACAAGGGCAACGTATTTAAGATTATAAAAGTTTCTAGCCAAAAATGAGACAATGCGATGAGTGTATTCCGAAAAATCAATTGACGATGCAGCCGACGGTTCGGTTATTGTTTCTTGTTTTGCTTCAGCTTCCACAGCTGCCATTGCTGCTTGTTGAGCAGCTGCCGCTTCAGCTGCTGCTGCGGCTTGGGCCCTTGCTTGTTCGCCGGTACTAGAAATTACAAATTCATTTTCAATTATTTAATACTCGTGGTCAATTCGTATATATTACTTCTAGACATTACATTACAATTTTATTTTATGTTAGAGGCAAAAAAATAATGATTAGATATAATAGGAATGAAATAAAACTTCGATTTATTAACGATAATGATTTAAATGTTAGATCAAATGAAATGATTTGTAATATAGTATATATGTATCAATATGATTGTACCCAAGTAAATCGACGAATTTAACAGGTGCATCAGATTCTCCAGTACCTCCATCACCTGTCCTTATACCTTCCTCACCGCCACCCTCGTCCGGAGTACTTTCACCAGTTTCCTCGATACTTGATTGTGGTGTTGAAGTCGACGATTCGTGTGGTGCTATTTTTATTTGACCACCTTCCTCTTTCGTTATATCCATTCCGAAAGCTTGTACCTGTCGTACCAACGCGAGAATGTTATATAAACAATTGAATGTTTTATTAAACATTATAATGTTTTATAATATATAAATAAACCTGTAAATTAGATTCATCCGGCGTTGGAGGTAAAGCAGGCAAATGTCTCAATGGTTTTTCTTCTTCTTCTTTTATCTCAATAGCGGGTTCATCCATATGTGGTCCTCTCATCAAAGTTAATAATAATTTCATAAAGTAACTTATCACGCAACCAACACCAAATCCGGAATAATAAAACGAATAAAATATCATTTTGAAAAAGCCAATAAATAATTCGGGTATCGTCATTTGTTGCATCTCCGTTATTTTGTTTTTTATATTTGTCGGTGAGAACATTGAAAAGAAGAAATAAATGCCATCCTTGAATGCTTGTATACCTCTCCTTATCGGATCTTTGTTTCTTTCTTCGTCGTCTTCCGACATGTAAGTGTAAGATGATTCTCTCGCTTTACCAATACCACCGCTCTCTTCTACCGCCATCAAAGCACTGGCATGTTGCATTTCAAATATCGCATCTTCGCAAAAATTAATGAAAGTTTCTAATTTTTCTTTTTCACCTGCCTCGACTACCGTGTTATAGAAATACGTTCTTTTTGATTCTTTTATCTGTGGCTTTTCCCACTGTTCTATGTTTGATTCTTTGATTTCGAAATATACCCGTTCGATTTTTTTATTACCACCTAAAATTTCTATCCTTCCTAAAAATGGTTCGAAATAATTTAAAACTGAGCCAGCAGTTTCGAGGAATCTAGCCAATCTAGGCTCGTTTGGCATATGCTCAGAAAGATTAGTCAAAAGTACAGCGAGATTAAAACCAATTTCTTTCGCTGGTTCGTGGAAACGATCCATGAAGGCAACGTAATCGATTTTACCGTCGTGATTAGTCTCGCAGCAAGCCAATAAAAATTCTATCTCTTCGCTAAATATTAATAACAAAATTTCGATCCGTTATTACATTTTCATATAATCCAACGTTAAAATATTAAACGATTATAAAATGTAATAACTCACTCGGTGTAACTTTTTTGTTGTTCCATTTTCTCTTTAAAATCTTTAGGATATACCCAACCGTCGCTATTAAGATCTACTTCTAAGAAACTGGGCGATGATACTAGATCTTTTAATTTCAGAAACATATCGAAATATTTTAGAATTAATTCGACGTTACCCGCTGACTCGACCAACGTGTCAACCATCTGTTTTCCGATAGTACCATTAACGACGTTTCCTATATATTAATATAAACACAAATATTTCATTAGAATTATTTTTTCCAAAATAATTCACATTTTATATAATATATCGAAATATTATTTATATTTAAATAATACCTTCCAACATTGATAGCATCATAGTGATCATATCCTTTTGTAGATTCAATAATTCTTTCAAAAGATCTACTTGACTGGAGTGTTTCGATAATTTATCTTGCATGTGTGAAAACAAAAATAGAAAACCACCAACGGCATCCCACAATCTCGAATGTGCTAAAGCCTGTTGATTTTGTGCGCAAGGTCCCTGAATAACTTCAGTAAGGGTGTTGAATACTTGACTAGCAACACCGATTGCTTTGAAAAAGTTCGCTTTACCAGCCGGATCAATTAATTCTTTACTCGAATAATGCCAATAAAAATCCATAATTGATTCTTGTAATCGTAGTAAATAATCCACGGTACATATGACGACGTTTACCGTTGTTGTATTACCCGCTTGCGTTCTGAGATAATTTTGCCAATCTAGATAAAAGAAAACAAATATACATATATACCGATTTTTTATATGCAAATAATAATTTCAATTGATATTACAATAAATCATTATCAAATGAACGTACCAAGATTGTGACCTTCACAAGTCAATTGTATAAAACGGAATAAAGCACACGTAAATTCAGCATCGTGCATGTTTTTTTCACCAGCAGCACCTTCAGAACCAACACCAAGACCCTCGGCTTTTGTATTCCTCTCGAAAGCATCCAAATCGAGAACACTGCAGGAATTCATAAGACCCGCGATCGAGGTGAAAAAACCAACGTCCTTCTTCTCCTTCAGATGATTTAACATTCCACGTTGTATCTCTATGTTACCACCGCGAAGAATAGAAATTCCCAATTCCAATGTTTTCATAACCATCTCGCTTGGAACACCTTTGCACGCTGATATATGAAGTAATACCATTTCCGCGACACCCCGATTCGCTAAACGTGCTTGATGAAAAAGCAGCTTCTGCTTCTCCATTTCTTGTTCCTACGAAAATAAAATGACACAATTGAAGCAAAAAATATATAATATTAATATATCCTATACACAGATAATAGTTAAATTTAGCAATAATAATAATTAACGATTCATTGAGACACATTATCTCACCATTAATTTGTGCATTGGCCTCTTGAGATTGCAATTAAAAGTATAATAAGCATTGTTAGTGACATTATAAAATAATAACATATGGATAAATCATTGATTGAATTCTAAATAAATTAGAAATGCAATGATGAAGGCTGCATAAACTCTACTGCTAAAGTAATTAAATAATCACGAGTATAATACTATCACATGATTACAATCGATTGAAATAAATATATTATGCGGTATAATATTACGGCTATGCGTTTTTATTCTTAAAAGCGCATGATTTGGTTCGATTAACATCTTGATCTTACCATAAGCAGTTTATGTGGCCACGTCTATACGAGTAATAAGTTAAAAAAAAGAATAAAAATCCTTGTTATTTGTGTGTTCATTTATCGAAATTCATGTGGATTAGTAAAAAGGGAATGTCATCGTCAATTTGATTGTATAATTAAATTAATCGTTTAACGAACAAAAAAATAGTTACATGAATGGATGCTCCACCCTCTTCTTCGCCGCCACCCCCTTCCTCTTCACCCTCCTCTTCTTCCTCCCCGCATGATTTAGATATTATTTGAGCGTAACTCATGTACAATGGATCTTCTTGAAGAGCACCGGATCTTTCAGTCATTGCACCACGACAGAACGTTGTTACCAGTTGTGTTAATGGATCTGGTTTACCCTCATCTTCATCCTTGTCCATTTTTTTCAATTCTGCATCCTCGAATGATTGCTACACAATTTCAATGCAATATAATAGATTAATATTTAGCGAGATTTATAATATATTAAGGTTAACCAAAAGTTCCTACGTTTATTGTGTGATTTTATATAATGCAATTTTTTTATAGTCAATAAAATTACTTTATACATGCAAGTGAAAAAATATTAATTTAAAAAACGCACTAACTTTTGATTCAATCTTTATATATAATAGAATATAAATAAATAATTATATTTAATGATATATTATTACCGTAAGGTCTTCAATCATTACTTCCTGACCTACGTTTTCGTCCTGCAACCATAATTCGTAGTACGTCCTCGCAAATATATTTATTGCCCGATGCCTAAAAAAAATAATATTGGAAAAACCGTGATATTACGCGGTATAGAATAAATCAAAGATTGACCAATTTAATTGATCGTATTAATTTTTGTTTGTTTTATAAATTATAATTTATTTTAATAGCGATGCGCTTTTACCTTCTCAATTTGTACAATGGTTCACTACGCAGACATGCAATCGCTGCTCTCTTTCTGGCTGCGCATAGCACACGTTTCCATCCATCTCGAGATGGTGGAGGTTTTGTCGCCTGTTAGCAGCATGCACACACACACAACTAAATTCGTTAAGGAACATCGAGAATAATATTTCGAACACACAAATATTACTTTTCAACGATTATCGCATAAATACATTCATAATATCGTATTTCGTACAAGCGCAAACGTAAAATCGCTTTATTTTTTTTTTTTAATACAATAAACACCATATATCTCGATGCACGAGATATTTTTATTTCGTTTCTAATTCTAAGATAAAGAAGAAAATAAAAAAAAAAAAAGAAAAAGAAGAAAAAACAATGAAACGTAACGATATCGTTAATTGCATTAGAGAGCGAGTAATTGAAATTCGACAATTGAAGCGGTGGATAGATAAATAAATGAAGAAAAAGGAAATATGAATAAATCAAATAGGTTTTCTTTATACCTGTACACAACAACAACAACAAAAAAAAGAAGAAGAAGTGTTTCGTTCATCGAAACAAAATAACAAAAATATACGGGTTTTATAATTATTTAATATATTAATGTGTGAAAAAGAAAGAAAAATTTCAACATACCAAAGAAATATAACTCTTATGGGAATGCAACAAACGTAAATGAACAAAAAAGGGATACCTGGGCAAGGAATGTAGGGAAGTTTGACGGAAACAAGCGATCACCGCTCGTTTGCGTTGTATCGACACCACTGATCGGTATTGACTCTTGCTCTGCTGTTGTGGATGATCTATCTACTCGAGAGAACATAAAATGATGATAGAAATTTGTGAAAAAACAGAGCTACACGATAAGAAAGAGAGAGAGAGAGAGAGAGAGAGAAAAGAAATATATATATATAATTGTGAATATAACTCTTTTAAATGAAATATATAATCAATAATATGCTTACGAAAATAACGTGTCTAGCAGTTTACATTAAAAAAAGATAATATTTAATATTATATATTAACTTACCATATGTAGGCCGTACAGTACTTTAGCCATGTCTGTAATTCTAGCAACTACGTCCTCGAGTTGTTGAGCTTTAACCGGTTCCATAACATCCTTCTTCTGTCCTAATTTAGAATACAAATAATGTTGCCAGGACATCTCGTCCGCGGGATCGATTTTATCGGGCAACGTTAATTGGGTCTTAGCGAATTCGGCTATCTCGTATTCCGGCATCTTTTTTAAGAATCTATCTTTGCAGTGTTGAACGAGTTCTTGTTCACGACCAGCGAACAGATTCAAACCAACTGGTAGCAAACGTTTGAGACATGCAACCATCAGGGACGCCTGAACTTCTTTATCCTTGTCTCTTTTTTTGTCACGATGTTTCTTCTTTTTCTGTTTATTAATAGACACAAAAAAAAAAAGAAAGAAAAGAAAGAAAGAATAAAAAAGAATGATTAATTAATGCGTTAAATTATTTTCAATATCAAATGATATTATAATAAATGAATCAACCTTTCCACCACCAGCCGGAGCAGTACCATCCGAAACGGTAGTTGATCTTCTAGTTGCAGTTGGCATTATAAGAACCATGTTATCAATCTCGTTAGTCGATATAAAGTTTTGTTCCTCGCGTAAGAAATATTGTGACTTTGACCATATATTGAATATCGCGGCAACGTGATTGTAAAGATCTTCAGCTTCGGGTATATTATTTCTCAACCAATGATTCCTTTGTAAATCAACGTACTTAATAAGAAGAGGATAAAACGAATATATGTCGCGTACCAAAAGTTGCCAATCTTCCTGTATCTGAGCTTCGACCTGCGATGTATCATCAGTAGAAGATTTAATGAATCCCCGAAGGGATTCTTCTTTGTGAAACATGGTATCGGTACGTTTTCTAACGCGTTCGGCCAAAGGTAAAAATGGATCTTTGAGTAATTCTTCGGAAGAATTAATAATTATCTGTTGCGTATAAGCAGCGATTCGTGTCATCCATGGGGCATTTTCGTTGCCTATATTTTTCTTTATCAATTTTAATACATTTTTCAATAATTGATTCATGTGATCGCTGGTTACCATGCTGACGTATGTACCTTCGGTTGGATTAACATTATCCGGGCCTTGTGCCCACCAGAATGGTAAGTAAGAGCATAAAAGTGGTAATATTACGTCAACAACGTGCGGGGCATCGTTGTAAGTTTTTTCAGACTCAACGAATTGATCGACTTCCGTTAGGATCGTTTCCAATGTTGGCATACTTGATTCCATTTTTGTCATAATGTCTTGAGCTTCTAATGAATGATCAGCGATACGATTTAAAAGGGAATATTGATTGTGTTTGTTTAAATGAGGTTCTAAAAAGGCAACTGGGAAACAACTCGAAAAGGCACCCAAACAGGAACCAAGATTTGGTTTGTGACGTTCGATTTCAGTTTTCAGGTATTTTCTATCATGAGTTAAACTGGAATCTACACCGAGAGTATAAAGTGATGCCAACATTTTGTAAGAGGCTACTTGAATTTCATCAACTGTAAAATATAAAATATAAATGTTTTTGTTAAAGTATATATTTCGTTTTTTAAATATTTTACTTTATATTTATGTATATATAAAAAGATTTTGACTTACGTAACAAATCGCTTCCGTATTCGCAAGCAGCTAGATGATCAAACATAGCAGTAAGAACTGGCAACACGACACTGTTGATGTACGATAACGATGTTGAAGTTTTCAAATGTGTACCTCTAAGATGACTATACTTTCCCTCTTGAAGATTTAATATCGTATGGCCTAAATCGTCTGCTGTATTATTGAAAAAGGTCAACATAGAAGTCCTGATAAATTCAGGACAATTTTTAACCAAACTCTTCGCGTCGATACCCTTTACAAGGACCTGCAGACAACGAACGGTTATCCTTACGTCAGCACCAAAAGCGGCAAGCCTTGATCGTAACAAATTGGCCAATTTGCAGAATAATGCAGCGACCATTTCTTTTTCCTTCAACGATGCCGCCCCGATATTATTCGTAGCAGTTGCCACTGCGATAAAATAATTCCTATGAGTACTGAAATACTTTTCCATCAACGGCAATACAACTTTGCTGAAAAATTTGATATCCCTCGTCGACGTTTTGAAACTGTTTCTACGACTAAACGTATCGGATGGTTTCAAAAGTTTCATGTTGATCGTCGCTTTGTCGAGATACGCTATCAATTTTTCTAATAAGGAATAAGCAAAACGAAGTTCAACCGCTGCACCGGCACTGGCAACTTCCGTTTCTCCACCACGATTTGGTCTGTGAAGTTTGTAACCTTGATATTGCAAGTATTTTAAGAATTCTTGAGAACGTTCGCGATCCTTTCGTTTTTCTTTATCGGTTAAAAGATCGTACGGTACCAATTGAGGATGAATACCACCTCCTGAAAAAAAAAAAAGAAATGTGACATTATTATTCACGCGAATGAGAAAAGCTAATTGAATTTGTTATTTATTTACAAATTTTAACCAACCACACGTAACGAGTTCTTCCTTTTTTTTCTTAGCCCAAATATCATGAGCATTGTCGGCCAAACGTTCGGCCATGTTTTGCATTTCTCTGCTAAGCGTCAAATTGGTCATGTCAACTGGATGAGGATTGTAATTAAACGGACTCGCAGAATCACCCTAAAACGAAACAACTTCATTAGTTCACGTAGAGTCGTCTAATCATTTCTTTCCTAACAACATATTCATAATGAGATATTATATTACCTGACTCTTGGATGATCTTCTCATAGAACTACGATTCGTCGATGGTACATCAACTTCTGCATGTTCGACACTCCAGCCAATAGCCAATAAAGCTTTTAAACTTTCTCTGACTGGTTCTTTGTAACGTTCTCTCTCGTAATCATTCAACATGTTGTAAGGTTTCAATCTTGGATGAGTTTTATTAACATCGGACCATTGTTCACCGTAAGTCCAACCATTCTCTAATTTTCTACTAGCCCATGCATCGTGATAATGTTCAGAAAATTTTTGTACTATTTGATTCAGATCGTTATTTAGTACAACGCTAATAAACGAAATTAATCGATTATAATTATTTGTCAAATAAATAATTCACAATCTAATATACAATTATGTAGAATTAAAATATACCTAGACGTGTTGATGGGTTGTGGATTATATGGACCATCGGGTGATTGGGTAGACGTTGATTTGCTACCGTACCATTCGTCTTCGTAATTTTTGGACAATGAATAATCCGGTGGTAAAGCACAACCAATAGCAGTGAGACAGGGTAAAGCTTTTCCAAATAATTCCGGATCGTAATCCATTTTAGACAACGAATCGAATATATTACTGAACAGAACCATCGTCAAACGTTTTTCTTCGTCACTCGAAGCACCATAAGCTCCTTGGCCTCCAGTCGATCCGTAATATTTAGCGCACCGATCGTAATGCAAAGTAAGCAACTATAATAATATTAATAATAATAATAATATTAATATTATTACAATTATGTATAAATTATGAGTAATAATTTATTTTTACTTACCCTCAATGCGACCGTGGTGTACTCTGACAATTTCGAAACATCCACGGTTAATTTTCGAAGTAATTTAAGCAACATACTCGGTTGCATTTGGCTGCAATTTCAAATAATATTAACACAATGTTATACATTCGATATGTTACCGTCATAGCCGAAAATCCGCCATTGCTAGTAATTCCTCGGCATTCTTATCAATTTTTTGAACCTTTTCAGATTGATTTATAACTCGATATGGTATTCTACGCGTAGACAAAAGTGTGTACTTTAATTTAATATAAGTTTCATTAAAATCTATTGACTTTTAGTATAAAAAATATTTACCAAAGCGCTTTGCATTGATGAGAATGCCGAGGAATTACTAGCAATGACTGATTTCCGGCTTCGATGGTAACAGATATAAGGGGTAACATACATATATTATGATAATATAAAATCGTGTATGATCGAGCATTTATATTGACAGATTAAAAAGATGTACTTTGATGTTTAAAAGTAGTATCAATGTGACTTACGAAAAATTAGACTCGTCAAGACATCTTGTCAAATCAGAAGAATTCAATTAGTTCATTGACAAATTATCGAGAACGTTTATTTCTTACCTGGTCAAAGCAACGAGGAAATCTGAGACAGCTTCGCGTTGACCCTTCGTTAACATTCTATTTTTGCTAAGTCGATATACGGTATGTAAAGTAGCATCCAATAGACTCGCATAATTATCAGCCTCGTTGTAAAACTTTGAATGTTTTATCAATAATGGCAAAATACTGTTTCCTATATATCGATTCATAGCAAGGGCCATGTCGGATTCGTATCCATCGTTCTATGTCAAACCAAAATAAACACATTCGTCAATATAATTTATCTCATTTTTTTAATAGTATAATTGTAAAAAGAAAAAAATGAAACAAATGAATGTTTTACCCTATCCAACATGGTGGCAGCTCTTAAATCTGGTAAGAAAGCTTCCTCGAGTAATTTGAAAAACAATTCTTGAGTTTCAATCCCATAAACGCGTTCCAAGAAAAGTACGACACTTTGTTTATGACCAGGTATCAATCCAGACGGCATATCACTTTTTGGCCTTTCTTCTCCAGCAGCTGGATTATGCAACGTAAATCTTAATGATAGTACTCCTTGAAGATCATCCAATGGTACCAACGACCGTAAAATAGCTCTTGCACGAAGCGATTCATTTTTTCCTGTAACGTTAACCTCGTTAATTGATATTATCACCTCATGTTTATTACTTATTAACAATGTCGATGCAATTTTCACATAAGAGATTTATATATATATATATATATGTATACATATATTACCAAGGGATTCCGAAGGGGATTCTGTTGGTTGTTAAAAAACAAAATAAATGCTCTTATTAGCTATTAATTTCTAAATTTACTTTTTTTTTTTTTCTCAACTACTGACAATCTACATGATAATGATTCTGTAATATCTACGTTGACGGGTATATTCTGATTATCGATAACAAAAATTCGGTTCAATTAACGTGTATGCAATAATTCTATTTATATTTGTCATTAAATTTTGAGATTTATATAAAATAATAATATCTCTACTTTCGTGTGTATCATTTAAAAATGAATAAAATATATGTAAATAATATTGTGAATAGGACAATTTTGTTGGTTGTCAACGATGAGGCGATAATTGAAAATCTAATCTTTGTATGAGCATACCTTGCTCGATCACGGAAGAATCTGGAGCACATCGACCGAGTAAATCAACGAGGGTGCAATAAAAATTGAGAATAGCAGCACCCGTATCAATGTAATCTTCATCGTCGTCTGATTCTGGAAGCGGATGCTCGAACTGCATCACCACTGCTGTACCCTCGGCTTCGTCGTGCACCTGTTTAAAAAGCTACGTTGATATTTGATTAGTGGAAATTGCGAGCATGCAATTGTAAAAACAAAAATAAATTGTCTAAGCTATAGGTAAGGAAATCGCTAATCGATGATGAGATATATAGTTAGAACAATAAACATAATTACATTTGACAAATTATTTACATAGGACAAATAATTATTTTACGTATTTACATGAAAAAATGCACATCACAAAACGTATATCTTCTGTGTTTTCTTTTTTTCTTTTTTTTTGTTAATTCTTACTTACAAAATTCAATCCTGAACGTTTAAACTTTTATTGATTGTTATTCGCTGGTCAAGAAAAATCAGAGACTAGTCGGACTTACTTTTCGTCTATCGGCGATACGTTCGGACATCTTATTGGCATCAATTATAGCTCTCAGTAAACCTTCTCCCTCACCTCGTAATGCAGGACCCAAACATTCCGGTCTTCTTATCAACAAACGTATTACCAAGTTTGCATTTTCTTCAACACTTTCACCTAATGTCGTATGGAAAATGAATGTATTAATATTATCTTGAAAGATAATAAACGTAGATATAAAAATAAAGAACCTTTTTACTAACCATTTACCCATACACAAAATCTCAAGAAATCTAAATAACGTTCACCCTCGACTGGATCCCAACCGAGATCAGGATAACCTTTTTCAACCAATTCGGAATTCGATTGCAGGCCGCATCTCGACAAATATATTGCTATTTTTTCTAAATAATGTTCTCTAAGGGCGAGTGCCAGTTCAGTGTTTTCCATCAATGAGGAATAAGCTACATCCAATGGTGTAGAACCTCTCAATGATGGTCTGGCAAGTAGAATGTTACTGTTTTCCAATAGGAAATCAAAATGATCGAACATGGCCTTTTGATTTTGCCTTGAGGTACGACAGAAATAACAAAGGAATCTACAACAAGCTACTACCATTTCGTGAGATGTATCTTTTTCTTTAGAAGCTGCTTCTCCTTCTGCAGCCTGTGCTTGTGTCTGTGCATCTGATTGTGCCTGTGCACGTCTACCTAAAGTATTCATCATAATCGCCATTACATTTTCGTGAATCCTAAGTACTCGAATCAAATCTGGATGCTGGAAGAACGTGTGATTGTTCACCAACTTCCACAATCTCTCTCTGACGAGTTCTTCTTCTTCCTGAGACATTTGTACTGGCAATAAAGCACGAATCTGACTTAAACCAACCCACATCGAAGCAACGTCTTCTCTAGTTTTACTATTAATCACATAAGTTTTTTCCAATGCTCTTATCAATTCGCCTACAGTGTCGTATTGTCGTACGAGTAAACTAAACATTTCACGTACGAGTTTGGGCGTTTCAATCTGAGCTTCTTCCGCCCATTTAACTATGGTTGCTATTAAAACCTTACGAAATACTTCCTCGGGAGTTTTCTTTTCCGGTTCTGGTTCTGGTTTTGGTTCTTCCTCGAGTTCCTTAACGGCATTGATGAAATTAAATAATTTCTTCATAGCACCGGGTTTTTGTATTTCTTCCTCGGGCTCGTTTGCGGCATCCGCAGCTTCTTGCAATGCGTGCAACGATACGTAAGACATTAAATCGTTGTGAAATTCGTTCATCTTTGCCACTAATTCTTCCCCGCATGGACAATTTTCCGAATCTTCTTCCGGATCGAGACTTTTGAAACTTAATATCGCATTCATTTGTTCGCGAGGCGGACAACGAAATTCTCTCGTCTTTTTGGCAGCTACGGCAGATGGCAAATCGGATTGTTTGATGTCAATGTAACGACGCAATTGATCGGCTTGCAAATCACCAACGAAATCATGACTGAACGCTATGATAGATTCTACGCGATGACGTAATTGAATGTCATTTAAATGATGGAGAAGGTAACACATTTGCAACTTTGCACCCTCCGCCATTTTCATATGAAGCAAACCCTTTTTGTGCTCATCTTTGCCTTCTGCGAAATGTTACATTTAAAAATACAAATATGTCATTAATTTTTTTCACGAAGTTTTATTATATATATAAATAAATAAATAAATAGTAAAGAAAAGTTTATTAGCTTTTTAAAATCTAATACGATATACCTTTATCAAATGTTGGATCCCAAGTTTCCGGATTGATCATAATAAGTAATTTCACGACATCCTCGTTTCTAAGCATTCCAACCAAAAGTAATCTATCTACGAGTTTTATCAATGGCCTGCGTGTGAAAAACATATTTATTATAATATAATATTATTATTTTTTCCAATGAGAGAAATATCAATTAAGTTATTATTTGACGTACAAGAATAAATTTTCGTTGCTGCCTCCTATAGGATCTCGATTATGAACCTGATTGACTTCAACGGCTTCGTTTAATGCCATCATCACGTAATCACGTACAACATCGAGAGGAAAGTGTGGACTGTATAGACTTCTTATATTCTCGATAGTTTGATCGCTAGAAGGAATTCGCCTTGATAGCCGATCGATTAGTAAAGATTCACATCTACTTGAAAACAATTATTCTTACCTTATATCAGTCATCTTCATTTGCGGCCGTACGGATTCGGTTTCCAAATATCTAAGACTATGTTTCATTTCGGGATCTTCGTACAAATCCTTCAATTCTTGACCTGTAAATGTATATATTAATATAAATTATAATAAATGAATAAACATTATACGCGTAACAATGTTCGACGATCTAATAAATTATAATAAATAATACCTAGAGGTATGATAAATTCATTTTTGCAAACTTCCATCGTAGTTGCGTGAGACTCGAGATGTAATGCGATCAGTAAATCGTAAAAACCTTGTCGTAATGGTCCGGACATATATTCGGCTCGGATAGCATACAATAATTGTTTTTGATCGACGTGTTGACATAATGCATGAGCTGCTCTGTAGTTCGATTGATAACACAATGCCGCATACAGCGTCAATGTGTGAGCGTGGAAACTATAAATGTTAACAATAACGATATTTGAATTATCTTAACAAATAAAGTAATTACATTTGTACGTTTATAATCGGATGTATGTATATAACTTTTCCAATGGAGATCTACCTTAAAAGTTTGTCCATTTCAATGAGTTCGAGAATATCGATACACCTATCTTCTTCAGGAATATGTAAAGCCAACATTGAAATTGCATCTTCGCAAAGCATCGACCAACCTCTGATATCGGACAATTTCAAAGCGTGGACCTGAAGCGATTGATTTGGTACTCTGGCCCATTGATGAGGTTTCAGACATTGCACTTTGAGTCTGGGAGGAAATTGTGGAATTACATGACGTTCTGAATTTTGTAAAACTGCTGCAGATAACGGTAACGTCGTAGACGTTCTTCCAAGTTCGATTTGAAGGATCTCTTTGCTGGTAGCTTCGACAAATATCGCAGGAAATAATTTCGTGTCAGGTTCCATTTTGAATTTGTGAGTGGTTTCTTTACCCTCGCAGGTGAAAGAAATGCAACCCGTTGCGGTGTCCACGAAACAACCGACGAACATCCCTTGGGATGCACCCTTTCCCGATGCATCTTGGGTAACTTCGTTGTATAATTCATCGGCTCTTACCATGTAACAACTTTGTCTATCGACTCTGAAAAATATTGAATTATTAAGTGAACATAAGTTATATAAGACTCATTAATTCGTTTTTATCAATTTTAAATAACTTACTGTTCTACCGGACGATCGTAATCATCTGTAATGACAACCGAAGCTTTCCTAACGCGGGACAAATTAAAATCCTTCGTGTGCAAATGATATTGCGAAGTTACCCAACCAATGTATACGTGTGTCGGATCTTGCCCGGGAAATATTCTAACACCGTAGAAATATTCGTTCATTAATTTTAAACATTCCGCGTCAAAGATTTCATTACCGATAGCTTCCACCCCACTGCCAGTTAATACCGACATTATTTTAGGTGCGTTACGTTCCGGAATTTGTGGTGGGACTACTTTCAAGTCGGTCTGCAAAAAATATAAACAAATGATTCAAATTGAAATCTTTTTATTTCGCGTATAACACCTATCATTTTATTTCATAGATTCAACTTACGGTAGAGACACGTATTTGAGCAGTTTTACTTCCAGTTTTACTTGCAGTAAGCGTCCTCGTACTTTTATCGGATACGTCGGAACGTACTTGAAGCTCCGGCGTTTTAGCTTTTGCCTCCGGTGATTTTGCTTTCCGCGAAAAGAATCTTTAAAATGGAGAAACACAACGTTGAAGATGTTCTTCGGGAAATATTTATTAATTTTTGTTTTAAAACGTTAAAGAAAATAATCACACAATGTAATACGCGCGCGCGCGCATTACGTGTTATGCTGTCGAATTTACTTACACATCTTCCATTTCTTTGCTAAGCTTTCTAAGAACGTTTAAAGCGTTAAAATTAATCTTACGATATGAAATCATTTTTAACACTTTACCGATCGTATACGTATATTAAATTTTTTAAGTTTACATTACATAAGCACTCATCTTTTTTTCCTATAATCGATATTTTTTGAGTATGTCGATGTACTTGTATATGTTCGGTAAAGTATTAAAACGAAATAATCTTTGAAATTGATTTTTACCTAAACGGCGAACGACCGCGTTTCTTTTTATCATCTTTGACGTCACCGTTCATCTCCCCGTAACCGTTCATTTCTGCTTCATTTACAGCACTATCCATAGCTCCGGAACGTGATCCATAAATCGAACCCTTTCTCGGTGGTCTCATAGGTTTATTTCTTTGCATTGGTATTGGTGATTCTTTTGCCATCTCATCAGCTTCTACAGCATCTTCAGAATAATTCCTTTGCAAGCCTGTGCATTCAAAAATCATTTCCAATGAATGCACAATCTTATATGTATATCAAATAAAATATGACATAGTTATACCTTTGATATCGCTCATGCTAAATCCAGATTTCATGATTTGTTCCATTTGAGCCGAAGGTGCCGCCTGTTGGGTTTGTTCGAATTGTTCGGACAAAAGTCTGCTCTGATGCATTTTAATGTCCTGCCATCTTCGTACCTTCTCGTTTTCCGATATAAACGTTGACAGGCAAATAACGGGAAGGGAAAGTCGTAAAAATTCCCAATTAGCTTTTTCCATAGTTTCAAATGTGTTGTGAGAAATTTTTAAACAGGGCGGTGTGTCCGATCCTGCAGGAATTCTAGCAACGTCTATCCTGGTATCGGCCATGTCATCGGTGTTCTCGAAAATTGGTTGATCCTTCGTATACCAATACGTGACTAAACGATTCATGTTCCTATAATATTAAAATAAGACAACAAGAAAATAAAATAAATCAAATAACGTCGTAGAATCAACCAATTACGAATGTGTGATAATAAATCAGATAGAATACTTACACGCAAAAGGGTTCGTATCCTTCTTGCAAACCGCAAGTAGTGAAAAATTTCAAAGTATTCACGTCCTGACCAAACGTCAGTTTAGCCTTTTGTCCGACGCCAAGTGTAAAAGCTGGTACGAAGGAATCACCTTGTACGTCAGCGAACGATGTTTCACCACCGAGTGCATCCATCAGAAGTTCTCCGTTTAATGAAAAACCTAAATTATTGTTTTACAATTTAACGTTAGATTATTCGACAACGTTAAATCGAAAGAAATTCTGGATTATTTTTAAACACGTTTCGCGTTTGATGATCTTTTCTCTCTCTCTCTCACACCCCCTCTCTCTCTCTCTTTTTCCCTCTTTCTTTATTTTTTTCTTCTCTTTGTATTTTCATAAAGATATTAATCACGAGATCCAGAATTTCTATCTAGGTTTTTAATACGAAGGTAAAATAAACGGCAACATTTAAGCAAGACATAATAATAAAGCGCGATTAATTAGAAAAGAGCGCTAGGAATGTTAATAAAGGAAGGAAAAAAAAAGAAAGTAGATTAAAAAACTTCGGACATGAAGATGGATTGATTAAATTCGTTATTTACGAGAAGAGTAATTGTTATAGTAGTAGTAGTAGTAGTAGTAATAGTAATAGTAGTAGTAAAAAAATGTATTTTATATAATAGATACCACAAAAAAGCAAATGCGAGAGTAACTTAATTAAAACCAGTTACACATGCATGCGACTTTATATGCATATTACTTTAACACGAACGGGGGTGACCTAAAGAGATGTAACGGATAATGTTCTACATGGAAGTATGTATACTACGCACATATGCACGGTATTGGTTCTGTGGAATAAAGCAATGATACTGTTAACGGGAATAGTCAATAGAAAAACGTATGTTTTAACAAACTTAAACAAAGGATAAATGTCAACAACGATATTATAACTTTGGAATGAAACTTTATTAATCCCCGGAGTCGCATGGAATACGACGAAAGAGAACGTATCACCACATGGTATTTGTTTTGAAAAATAATAATGAGGACGTAAAAATAAAAGAAAAGAAAAGAAAGAAGAAATATAATAATAGAAGAAAGAAAATATTTCTTAATAAAAAATAATAAACAAGAAGAAGAATAATAATAATAAAAAAAAGAAAAAGCAAATAGAAATGAATAAGAAAAAATTGTAAAAATATATGTGAGCATCGAGCAGCCATCCTCCAAAGCGATATTAATGTTATCATCGTTACATCGTGTGAGAATTAGGATTCAGTATTTGGATTAAATGATTAATAATTATGAATCACGAAAGCACTGTTTTTTTAATAACAGTATAATGCTCAGTAGAATACTGGATACCGCAAGACAGTTCGAATATAAACGCTATTTCGATTGACAAATTACATGATGTTATTATTAATAATGATCAAACCAGGACTGTGTGACTGGCTTTGCTGGTTAATCCCAACATATACGGAAATATATTACGATGATATTATATTATGATAGGATGAAAGAAAATTAACGAGATCCCTTTAAAAAAAAAATAATAATAATAAAAACACTCTTTTTGTGGCTTGGCTGCCAATAATTTGACGTGAACGAATGATAAAGATATAAAAAAAAAATATATATATGGAAAAACACATCGATCCTGTCTAAAACATCAGTCCAGATTCGTACCACGTATATATATATTTCAATTATTATTATTATTTAATAGATTAATAGAGTAATGGAGAGATATATGTATGTATTATAATTCTATAAAAAAAAACACAGATTGTACACACAATGATTGTTTCATTATTTTAATGTAAAGGATTTTTTTATGCGCGACTATGTAACACGAATACTAATCAAATTAGCGGATTCTGTATCCAGTAATCTAACTATATATAATCAAAGTATATATATGTATGATGTATATGCGTCTGAATTAGATTCATCCTAAAGTTACACCAAAACCAGTAGTAATATCTCGATATTTGCAAAAAATAAAATATATATATATATATATGTAAGTTGCATGCACGAATTATAATGAAAACAAATTCGTATGCACACATATGTAATATATAAAAGTGCTCGATATGAATATTGTGTGAGAACATTTGGAAAAGAATAATAATGTTTAATTATTGTTAAAAGAAAAATGATTTAAACACTGTGTTGAAAAGGATACACAATTATTTTCTGATACATATACACGTTTCGAACAATTATCTTCGTCGTTATCACACGCGGTCTTGGACAATTATTATTTTATCTTGCTAATATAATAAAGAATATATATACAAAATTGAAATTAAAAAAAAAAAAAATATATATATATATATATTTAGAAATAAAAAAAATGATCGAACTACCACTGGTAAGGATAACACACATGGATCATCTAACACGCGCGCATACACATACATAGATATGTCTTTTACATTGCATATCATGTATTTATGTGTTATATACAATATACAATGTGTATATATCACACATAATATTATATATATATATACATATACATATATATAATGTTTATAGCTTTAAATGGCAGCTGAAGCATTCGTTTAAAGATTCCGTCTTACTAATAGTTCGGTCAATTAGATCCAGGAAAACCCCGACAACATCTCCAACCTGCCATTGCTTGCCGAATGTTTCGGCTGTGCCCGAGTATACTTTTTCCTCCTTTAAAACAAAATGAACAAGTTCAACAGTCTTGTTTTTTCGTCAATTCGTAACCACGAATCGTAGTATATAAACTACATAACGTTTCGATGAGAAGATTTCAATAACGAATAGAACTGCGACGACGATTATTATTATTATTATTAATATTAATATTATTATTATTATTATTATTATTATTATTATTATTATTTTGTTGTTGTTGGTTTGTTTTTTTTTGTTTTGTCTTTTGAATTAATATTATTTTTGTACGTGTGTGAGTATAGGATGATCTCGCACAGTTTATTTCACAGTTACACGTTCCGACATTTTCTCTCATAGTATTATTGAACCTATGATGTTTCGATGAGATCGTGTTGCCTGAATAATAATAATATCTTGATAAATGACTCTTGCGTGACTAGACGGCGATCAGAGTGAAGCCACACTTGTGAATGAAATATTCAGCGATTTCATTCGTCTTGGAGCAAGGATGCAGAGAAAACCAAGTCAACATGAAATAAACATATAGAACGAGACAAAGACAAAAGTAGTGACGAAAAAACAAATCAAAATATAGTGGACCTCTAGTGACTATCGGAAAATGAGACTCTTACTGATAGTTCTGTCTGCGACGTCAATGAAACAGCCAACTATGTCGCCCACTTGATATTTGTGACCAAATGATTCGTGAGTACCAGCGTGTACCTTAGTCACCTGACATTCACGATGATTTTTTAGATTATTTTCATATAATTCTACATTTACAAATAATATTAACGTCGATACCGCGAAGCGCTTAGGCACACCGAACTATGTCTATCGTTCGGTCAAGATCTTCGCTAGATTTATAATAATAATAATTAATTAACATCCTCCGTTTGCACGGATTTTTAAATGTATTTTTGTTTCTTTTTTTTTTTTTTATACGTATACAGGCTTAAGAAAATAATTGCATCTAGAAATTGTAACTATTATGAACACAAATCAGGAACTTGTTTTATATCGTTTGTGGAAAAAAAAATAATAATAATAAATTACGCGATATTATTCGTACTAAACTTACTCAACTTATTCGTATTTCGTACGAATATACACAACGACGTAATCAAATGTTTCATTCTTATAATCCATTTTGTTAAATATCTTCGAAGATCTACGAAATTAGATATAAAATATTTGACACGATTGGTTACTTACGTTATAGCCATCGAATGCCCAGGTATTCTCGTCGCTACCCAACATACTTCCTGGCATACAGTCAGCTTTTGCCCAACCAACGCGCATAGGACCGGCTGTTAAAACTTCGAATTCGAAATACCATTTGCCACTGTTAACCGCATAATGTTTCTCAACCCTATACGTTCTAAAATACAGTTGTCGTAATCTATTAGCTTCTAACAATAGAGCTGTAACACACAACCAAACAAAATATATATATAAATATATATGCGTATTATATTAGTTATTATGAACTATAAATATTTATAATGAAAAATATTGAAAATTTACCCTCGTGTTGTTCACCAGTTGGTGGATCAAGCATATAACCATAGACGAGAAGCGTCCTAACAGTTTCACTGGCAGTATCCCGATTAGCTTTTTTAATGGCCTCATCTACTTTAGGATACGGTACCAAATGCGGACTCCTTCTCATTTCAGAATCTTCGTTCAATCCGTAAGTCCAACCTTGACTGATTCGTTCTTTCGCCCAAAGATTGTGGGTATTTTCTGCCAATTGATCCACCAATTCCTCCATTTTAGGGGTTAAATTGATGGCACTGAGATCGAGAGGTGCCGGTTTATAACCACTGCTTTGTAAGAATGGTTCGTTAGGTAACCTTAATGTTTTTATTCTAGACGGTGGTTTGTCCATTGTAATGTAATATCCAAGAGCTAATATGGTCTTCAACGTTTGAACGGCTAATTGAGTGTCATATCGTTTTTCAGCGGCAGGTAATCTTTCAAACTGTACGATACAGGGATGAATTTTTCTTAAATCGTCTCTGTGTTCACCGTATATCCATCCAGCTTCGATTTTGTTCATAGCCCACATTTCGTGAATATTCTCGGCTAGTTTGTCTCTTATCTGTTCGACGTAACTCGGTAGATTGATCATGGAAGTATCAACAGGTGCAGGAACAAATGCCGTGTCATCTTCCACCAACCATGGTCCGGCTAATACAACTTTATTCATATTCCCAAAATAGAAACAAGGATCCAAGGAAAGTATCTGTTGGGGTAGTAGACTTTCTACCAGAGGTGAAAATTCCTCAGGTGGTTGATACTTCAATCTTCCATGATCGCCACCGAGAAGAAATCTACAGGATAATTTGGAGGAACAACTGATCGCTGGGAAAAACATTCCGTCGAGATTAAAATTTCTGAAAGAGCCAGCAACGTGAGTGCCGTTGAAAGTGAACGATATTACAGGAACGGTCAAATCCAAGGAACAACCAATTACGTCGCTTTTTCTAATAAATGGTTCCGTAGCATCTTGAACAACTTGTGTCTTTCTACCACCTGTCCAAAGATTCGCGCCATCGTAACCGAACGAGTAAAGATCGTCACCGACACCGTTTCCACCCCATTTTTCGCCACCACCTGGATACGGCATGTAACTATAATAAAATTATAAGAATCGATAAAATTGATGAATTAATATATAAGTATTGACATTAAATATTAATAAAATGTCAGATGATATATTTACCCAGCTGTGTTAGCCCAACCTATCCGCAAATGTGGCATCATGTGAGTTGTTTGTTCAATATGATCTACGGTAACTTCGAAATACCATTTCTGATATAACGCTGATCCCTCGACTCTACCGACAAATATGTTAGGTCTTATGCTAGCTACGTGATCAACCAGTTGCGTCTGAAGAAGTAAATTTTTTCCAGGAAGCAAAAAATCACATATATTATTCTGCGATGATCGTACAGCTACTCCGTTACCCACGCAAAGGGAACACAACACGTCCAAAACTTTTGGATCTCTGCCATGTTTCTCCAAAAGAGAGATTATCACTTTGATATGTTCATCCTAAAAAAATGACACAAATCAAACTCAAATTATATATATATATACGTTTTCTCGTTTAATCCTAACAAAAAAGATGAATAAAGAATAAAACAAAAACTTTAAGTACCCTCATCATGTTCAAAGCTTCGGGCGAATCAATAAGAACGCAGTGAAGTACGTCCAACATTCCGGTACCTTCGCTGGACGCTTGAGAACCTAAACGACTGAACAACCAATTCAAACGATTGCTATTTGCAAATTGAGCGCAATTCGTATGGTTTCCTTTGATTATAGCTGCTAATAATTGATAAAGATAACCAGAAATTTGATCCCACGCTTGACCACTTTCGTCTCCAGAAAGTGCGACAAGAAAACCTTGCGAAGTGATCACGTTAATCTTATCTATCGCTTCCAAAATGAGATTTAATATGCCCTCTTCTTGGAACAGATCTTGACGATTTCTTAACGCACGAAATCTGTTTTGTTTTTCTTCGTGTTCTGAAAGAATTGAATAATATTTTATAATTGTCATTTAATTTCAACACACACACACACATTTTCGTTTTTAACACTTACCCATATCATCTTCTGGCTGAGCGAAATAATTGATTAAATCTTCCAGACACATTACCATTTCATTGAGATTTACATTTTGAAAAAACATCGATGCTCTTCTATTAATTTGCAACGTTTCTAAACCTCTAAAAAGAAAAAAAGACATATTTATTGTTAACTTTTAATATCTCATTATTGTTTAATAACGTAACTTCGATCGATACCACACCTATAAGTCTCTTAAATAAAATAATAATAAAAAAAGAAAATGCTTACGTAATAAATTGCGTGAACAAGCTACTACATTTTCTAATAACACGTGCCGTTCTAGATTCTTCTTCTTGGGAACGTGAAAAATCCAAACCATCGTCCATTTTTCCCTCCTCGTGCAATACCGCCTGTTTTTCTTCCACCTTACCCACGCCTTTCTTTTTTGTCTCGTACGACTGAAATAAACGGTAAGAGGATACGAAAAAAAAAAAAGAAAAAAAACAAACAAATTGATAATAAAAATAAAAAGGTACAACGCGATATCATATATAAATAATCCTAAATTAATATTTATTAATACCTTGTAAGAAACCCAGAGACACGTTGTAGAGTGTTGCATAATAACCGTCGAGTCACCATATTTAATAATCGGCATTCCAATAACTTCTAAATCTTTATCCTCGAGTATTATTTTTTGATCATCCTTCTCTTGTCTCAGCCAGAATGTCGAAGTTTCTATCGTTGCTTCGTTTCTATAAAATTGATATATTATTATAAAGATAATATTTAAGAGTTAATGAAAATAAAATAGAACGATGTTAAAATGATGAAGAGTAATGACCTGTCCACCAAATATAATTCATTATTTTCTTTTACTGCAAGATATCGACCAGTTGTCAAATGTCTTATACGCATTGGATGCAACCAATTAATAAAACCACCTGCCCATTTTGTTCTAGCTAATTCCAACCTCCATAAGGATCTTGCTTGACTCATAACACTTCCTCCTTCGTATGTTACGATACTATAGATCAAATTATTTATTAAATAAATCATTATATTACTATATATAATTGTATCAAATTAATATAAATGATAAAGGAGAAAGATATATATATATAATACTTTTGATTAGGTGACGTGCTCCATGTCGAAGGTATAGTAAGACACTCATCGCCACCATGAAAAAATCTTAATACGTCACCACCAAAAACGTATCCTACGTATTTCATTCTACTTATACCAGTACCATAAGGTTGTACCGACCAATGTGTCACGTGAAACGATGCGTTTACTACTGATAAATCATTTTCTTTCGTTGTGTGCTATAGAAAAAAAATGATTTGAATTTGAGAATAATTATGATGTCAATTATACGTATTCATATATTATAACATTGAAGAAATATTAGATTTATCATTTAATTATTATAATAAAATGTTTAATATATTATTTGAAAATAAATTATCGCGCGAAAATTGTAAATTTGATATATTTCTTACCAAGTATCTTTCAGTGGCAACAGATACAAGAATTAGATCGTCACCTACTCGGACCTTTTCACCTTCAGATCTTTGTTTCGAAGCTGGATGTACTGTCCACCAACAAGCTTCGCCTGTAAAAAAAAGAACAATGTTATATCTAATTCTCACCCCCCTATTTTCTTAATGAATAATAATGAACTATAATAGATAATTGTTTTGTTCGATTAACCTTGTGAATGTTGTTGTAAACCTACGTCAAATGCGAGTTTATCGTTTGATGAACTCGTTGACAGACATGCCAGGTACTGAAACAATAAAATTAATGAATATAATATCACAAAAAGATATGGATTATTCTATTAAATGTGATAAATAAATTATATTGTTAACGTACCATGTCGCTGTTTAGATGCCTCAAAAGTATGGCATTGCCATAAAGTAAAGTTCTGTGTCCTGATCCGGTACCTTTTCCCTAAAGATATATAAATAACGTTTTAAGGATATTTAATTGCTTTATTTTCAATTTCTTGATCGTATCTCGATCGTATCTATTATTTTTCAGGCAAATATCATGACGCTTCTAAATGTGATGAATAAGAGATGGCCATAAATACATTCACGTTAGACAAAATAGTTAGCAGCTTTCGATACATCATTTATCCCAAATATTTATGCGCACATGTATATATTATATATATATATATATATATATTGCAATGTAATTGTAATGTATATGTAAGTTATCGCATTATTAGTACACACAAGTATATGCAAAAGGAATATGCGTCGTGCAAGTAACGTTACATTGACGTTAATGAACAATTTTTCAATGTACGTAGGATATGTATTGTAATTTGCGAATTTGCATTATATAATTAATTATATCTTGTGGCCAGCACATAAAAAATAACGCAAGCCGACGATAATCATTCAAAAAAAAAAAAAGAAAATAATTACGAGTTCGTGAAAAAAGAAGCCCTAGACCGATATGTAATTATACTTACTAAATTCTCTTGCTGCTGGAAAGAAAAGAAATACAAAGAATGATAAATGTTCTTGTAACTATTTTTTTCGGGGGGGGGGGCAGGGGGAGGGGTTGATTCGCATTTATCAAAAAAAAAAAAAAAGAAATAAATAAATAATGTAATATATTTATACGTTTGTTTACATGGTGATAATGACTTTTAGTAATGTTTTCGGGTGATACGTTCGTTTTTTTAAAAGATGTGATATAAAAAAAGTAAGAAAACAACTGACAAAGGGGTTGGGGGCGTGGGAAAAATAATAGCGATGACAATAATATGCATCATTATGCGATCATACGGACACTGGACACATGCTACAATTACTGGACACAAAGGGATGTGCGTGCGGATGCATTAAGCTAATACCGACAACACGATGACGATTTGAAATCTTATTATTATATTACCGAATAATAATAAGAAGAAGAAGAAAAAAAAACAGACTTTCCATTAAAACTTCTAATCGTAAATCATTTTTTTTTCTTTTTTTTTTTGTTCGTCGCAACATACTCTATATAGGAAATGAAAAAGAAAAAAACAAACGTTGATCGTTTATCACATCTCTTACAAATGAACAGGTAACAACAGCACAGGGTAGCACATTTTTATGGCCGACTCCTATGCAAATTATATATAAACTTGTATAGAAATCTTTTATTTATCGTAATATCGTATATATATAATATAATATTTGATCGTATTATAAATATAACTTTTTTTCTTTCGCGAATATATAACGACTTGATCAAATTCTTAATGTAAAATTAACGATCCAGTCGTTCGTTTATAATGAAAAAAGAATATATAATAAATAATATAAATAAAAAGAAAAAAAGAAAAAAAAAAGAAAAAAAAAAAAAATTAAAACGTTACCGTCTCGGAGCCAGCAGCCGTGACTAATTCCTGTAGGGCTCTCACCGAGAGAGCTTGTTCTATCACAAACACACATTGCGATAGATCTGGAGGAATATTCTGAAATTATAAAAGAGAAGAAAAAAAGAATAAAATGTATAACGATAAGAGTCGACAATTGAACTATTAACATTATTTTCTATTGTATCACTATGAGATTGTTAATAATGTTTTAGTAAATGTGTGTCGGTTACCTTGTCTGCGATATTTTCGAGGAAACAATGTCGATTGCCAAAACCTTCGGCTGCCAGGCAAACCCTCTCGCCTGTTGCTGTACAGGACAGACATACCATATCCTCCTGTAAATTATAATAAAAAGCAATATACAAATTATATACGAAATCAAAATGATATCAATTAAAATTAATTATATTGAATGACTAACTTAATTTTGCTCGTATCATCATTCGACGAAACGTAATTGCCGTTGCAATATAATTATTATGCATTGAGAATCATTACATTGCAAATGTAAATTACATAGATTGATCGTAATAAAACACGTTGCATTATTTACAAGTATATGCATACGTAAGAAATGAAAAAAAAAATATAAAAAGGAGAGTCAGGGGGATTAGTGTTTTTTCTTTTCATTTTATTTCATTTCTTTTTTATTCTTTCGTTTTTTTTATTTTTTTTTTTACAAAACTCAAGCTATAACTTAGGCCTTTACGAAATAGTGAAATATAATGTTGGCCAAATAACAGAAGTTATAGTCGTCGTGCCAGAACCAAATTGGCCGGCCTTAAGAATGCAGAAACGGCCGCCTGCGCAAGAGCTCAAGAAAATACCTTCTTCCCTGAGCTTTTGATCGTTATCCACCGGAAAAAGTAAGCTCCGCCTCTTAAGTCGTAATAATATCGTAATAGTAATCTACGACGTATTTGTGTACATATGCATACATACGTGGCAAATATGACTCACTGATTTTCTCAAATGAATAGGTGCGTTATTACGAATTTATTATGTTCCCAAATTATTGCAAACACATTCGCGTGTAATGAAACAATATAATTAATATTTACTACTTCGTTATATTTTTTGTCAATTGATCATTTTTTTTAGTATAATATATTTTAGTAAAATCAATCTAACTATATTGATAAATATACGTATATAAGCATATACGAAATAAATTTTTCTTAATTGGGATATTTAAATAGAAAGGAAAAAATAAGTGAATGAATGTTTTATAAGTAAATTTGTAATCCCAAAAAAATCGTATTTTAATTTTATCGAACGAATATAACAGAATTATTTATGGAAGTGTTTAAGGTTATTTAAAGGTGAACTTTAGCTTTTCTTTTTTTTTTTCTTTTTAATGAAAAATTATTATAATTTTTGTAACGGTTTATTATTGTACGTAAAAATACGGACAATCTTCGTCTCGAAAGATTTCTTTATCTAATCTTTACTTTTTACGATATTATAAATATTATTTAGACAAAAAACTTGTTAAATGCAAATAAAAATATATTTTTTCTATGGTAAAAAATATTATTTTAATAAATATTCAAAATGTCAGTCCTCAGTTTCGATATATACGTCTCAGTACGCTTAATTAATGATTGATCGATACGTGGTAGAATATTCCTGTCAATCTGTGGTATTATCATGTGATATGATGACTATTCGGTGTATAATTTGTTTATTACGAGATAAATACCAGATTGAAATTACAACGGCTGCTATATAAAACGTGATAATACGGTATATATTATAAATTCGATCGTACACGATATTACGAGATTTAAATATTGTACATTTTCTTATACTAATTCAAAAAGAAAAGCTTTATCAATGCATACTAACTATAGCAAAAGATATAAAAGATTCCATTAAAAATATTTGTTAAAATATTGACCAGCGGAGATATATTTATTTTCGTGATATATAAGTGTCACAATAAAGTTTACAAAACTCACCCTATATATTTATTCCCATACTATACAAATTTTATTCTTATATTCATTTTTAATTGTGTATGTCAATCCGGAAACTTGTAGGTATATACATACATACATACATACATACATACATACAAATATACGTATACAATAACTAGTAACCCCATCTTTGTGGGACACGATAAACATATAAGGGCTTAAGGGTTTATATATGGAAATAATGCAGTCCAGCGAAAGCTACAACATAATACATTTTATTATATTCTATCGTCGGATTTCCAAGCTTGCAAAAATGTTACACGTTAACATTTAATTATTATATAAATATATATATATATATATATACATATATTTACAAATTGATTAAATTATAATACTAGCTTTAAAAAGGAGAGAGAGAGAGAGAGAGAAGGAGAAATTAAGCATGGCAGATACTTCCGTCGTCTGCCTTTAAAAGAGAAACGATCGAAGCACCACCATTGTACTATAGGTCAAGGGTGCACCTTCCTTTAACAAAATAGATATCCCTCGCGCATTTTCATTTTCTTATCGTCGTTAAATATCATCCCCATCGTATTCTTATATTTCTTACGCGAAATAACAACGAAAGTATTTTATCCCTTAACATATAAGCAACAAGTAGGATTCAAACATTACGTTCTCATCACGTTTTCATCTATAAAAATGAATTTAAAATGATTTAACGGAATTTTTTTTGTGTTGTTACAAATTCTCTCTCTCTCTTTCTCACACATGCATACACACTAATCTCGTTTTAAAATAATCGATTTATTCGTATCGAGAAAAGAAGTTTAATTGAGCAAACAAACATGTTGCTATTGATTAGTATCAAAGTAATTTTAATTTATACCCCCTTTTATATATAATGATTGATCTCATTTCATTCTCGAATTGATTAGGCTTCGATCGAAACTACAATTTTTTATTTTATCGTAGAATGCAATTTTTCTTCTTCTATTTTTCTAATATTGACAAACGAAGGTATCCTTGTTTTTCACGTGACTCTATTTTATAAAACTCCAATTGATTTCTAGCGTGCATGTGGAAAATCTTTAAATGCATTTCAGTCGAGAATTATTTTAAAGAAAGTGTTTGTATACGTGTGTACATATGTATATATGAATTTTAAAGCATTATTCGTACGTGAAAGAATTATTCTTATAATCGACTATATATTCTATCTTATTACTACATTCTTCAATTAATGACGATATTATTTCAATATTTACACTTTTATTTTTCTCTCTCTCTCTCTCTCTCTCTTTTTCTCTTTTTTTCTGCTCTCTTCTTCGTATAAAAAAAGAAAAATCGGTAAATGAAGATCGATCAGATCGATTTATCGATCGATTAACAACACGTCGAACGATTTCGATCAACTAATCAAACAAAACAATTCGTTTTAAACTTCAGATGTTTTCCGTCAAAATGACATATCAACAAATTTTCGGTATTACGTCAAATTATTAAGTACAATTAAATATTATCATTAGTATTAATCAAAATGGAAAACGAAAATAATCTTTACCAAGGTGACAGTGATAGGTGAGATAGACAATTTTTACTTTTTTTTTTATCTGTTCTTGTTAGTAAGTTAATTTAATATAAAAAATCGTACTATCCTCTCCTACGCACGTACATATATATATATAAAATAACGTATGCATGTCCGCATACAACTTGTTTCACGACGACCTAGGACCTTTACGTTTGTAATACTAATTAAGTTTAATATTTAGACCGTATAGATCATTATGCGACGATTATTATTTTCTAACCGAGTTATTTGATTAGACAATTTGACTATCCTCGAAATGGAAGTCGCATCCCTTTTTTTTTCTATATAAAAATATAAATATAAAAATAACGAGCAACTACGACTGGATTGTGATAACTATAGTTTGTTTTTCTTTTTTCTCTCTCTCTCTCTTTCCTTTTTTCTTTTTTTTTTTATTTAATTCGGTCTAACGTACCATGAGAATTTTTTTGACTCGACAAAGATAAATTTTTTCGAGCGTTACGGTAAACTATATCTATCTATTATATCTACCTACCTACCTACCTATCTATCTACCTACCCTTGTTTACATCGCGTTGGAAAAGTATCGTAAATAATTCATCGCCTCTAACGTCGTGATATGTAAGCACGTGTGCTGCATCAATAATAATTATCCGTGATATATAACATTCGTATATAATATCGCGAATTAACAAGATTTTTCTTTTTTTTTTTTTTTTCTTTTTCTTTACGACATACGTTAAAAATCGGGATACTTTCGCTAATTGAAAGACAATTTGTTTCTACTTTCCTTGACCTCTATAAAAAAAAAAAAAAAAAAGATAAAAAACGTATCAAATTAATTATAATAATAACAACAACAACAACAATAATGGAGAAAAAACGATATAATGCAACTTTTTAATTTTTTGACAGGCACGACATGCAAAATGATTTACGAACGCAAAGAATTAACGATGAAGAAAAACCTGTCGTCGAAAAACACAGGCATCGTAGTCGTAGCAGATCGTCCAGAAGAAGAAAATGTCGATGCAAATCGAGAAGACGAAAACGAAGATTAATATTATCTCGTAATCCTTTCATCATTTTTTATCTGGAAATGTATTTCAAATCACCGGGTAAACGAGTAACGGAAGTGGCTCGCGAGGCCGGTAAAAGATGGTGTTGCTTGGCTGATGAAAAAAAGCGAAAGTACATAAGGCTCGCAAGAAAATTGCAATGTAGAAAACGCTGAATGCTAGAAAAGTGCTAAAGCGAACAAAAATAAAGAAATAAAACGACAAAAAAATCTACGAAAGATCTTTTGATCTTTACCGAGGATCACGAGTGATGAAACGAAGGGAATAATAATGGTTAGAAAAAAAAAAAATTCTACACGTATATATAATAATTCAACTTCCGTGGTAAAAAAGGTTTCGTATTTTATTCGAAAATTTTACTTCCATTTAACGCATATAATACATACAATCCAATTGTAATAATAGCATCATAAATAATATATCACGTATATATGTATATTCGTATATTTGTGCGTTTATGTGTTTGTGTGAATGAATCAGAGAAAAGAAAGTGGGTACGTTCACAAATAAAATATAACACCAGCGCGCAGAGAAACATGCGTGTACGTATCCTTCGGAACGTTCAAGGAGCTCGTAGCTGGAAAAGCTCAAGGTCGGCGATTTGTCCGACGAATACCGTGCGATCGCATGGTGTTTACGAGGGAAACGAGGTCAAGGTCGTTTAGCATGGAGAGCTTTAAGTGCTTCCATGATTCAATAAGTTCACCCTTTCATCGAGAAACTCGCTTTCATCGCTAGACTGTAACTCGATTTATTCTATCGAATGAAATTGAGAAACGATGGGTGATTGATAACGTCCCACCCCTTGCAATCGTTAATTCAACGTTGAGATTTTGTTTCTTTTAATCAAAATAAAATCCAATCCCTTATGTCTCGTATTAAAATCACGATCAAATATAAAATCTATATTTCTTATTTATACTTAATCTAAATTAAATCAATCTCGTTTAAATTTTATTTGAAAAAAATATAAGGGTAATTAGAAAAATATAATATGATATATTATTTGTGTTTACAATGCAACAACAACATCATCAATAAACGATTCACGACGATTGGAAATAAACTAAAGAACGGAGGATGATGTACGAGCAAAACGTGTATTTAATTGTATTCAAGGGATTAATATATCAGGGGATAGAAAAAAAAAAAACTCACCGTACGAAGGAATGATACGTCGTCCTGTTCGGAGCCACCTTCGCTGTCAGCCATACCGGCGACGACCCAGCTTTCACGAGATCGTCACACAACAACGAGAAAGATCTTCGTTTCTTCCTCCTCGACGTACGCAAGCTCGTGCTCGCAAGCTTCCTGCTCGCAAGCTCGTGCTCACAGCTCGTCCAAAGGGAAAGTGGTGGCCCTTCTTAACGGTCGTTTCGTTAAAAACACGCACGCTTATCACATTCGAGCATGATCTTCCCTTCCTCTTCCTCTTCCTCTTCCACCTCTTCCTCTTCTTCCTCTTCTTCCTCTTCTTGGTTTTTCCAGAGCTTTAACTCCAAGCCAAACAAATTTGTCACTGGATAACAATTGAGTTACACAAAGTAAACAAAGATCACACGATTACGACGACGCGTTGGTGATGACGATGACTGGTGTTGGACGAGAGGGTGCAAGAACGAACCAGGGATAAAAAAGGCCGAAGACGGCGACCTTTTCGTCAGGCACACCGATCGAAACGACGACGATCACCGACTGGATGCTCACTGTCCTGGAGGGCCAAAACGCTCTACCGCCGATGAAATCCTACGCATGCGTTTAAAAGCTAAACAAATTCCGCATGCTCGACGTTTATACGAGGCTCCACCTTTTAATAAAAACAAGCAACATTTTCATATTTTCCCTTTATCAATCCCCCTTTCTTTTTTCCCGTTTAAGTTTCCATGATTTTCTTTACTAGATTTTTCAAAGGGTGATCCGCGAACGGTAAAATACTACGCGAGTAGATTTTCGAATTATATTCTTAGAAGTTTCCTAATCCTATGTGTCGTACAATAGATTGATAGATGATATACTGATCATCTTATATCATTTACCGATCATCAAAATTATGTATATCTTAAATTGTATTATACTTAAAACTATCGTTTAATGTCTAAAGACTATTTATTTCTTTAATCAAACTTAAATTGACATCGGTTAAAAACGTAACTGATTCACAAAATGAAAAAGAGAAGGAAATAGACGAGGGTAATAGGTGCAAGTCGATGAACATATCGCACCAGTCTCATTCTCGAACCTATTTCCAGCAACGAAACCGAAATAGTCATGTCCATATGTCTCCTAATGAGTTATGTACGTTATCTATGTATGTATGTGTGTGCATTTCTCTCTCTCTCTCTTTCTACAATCGTTCCAATTACATTTCGAATTAACGAGAATAACATCGATCGTAGGTTAAAGTTAATGCAATTTCCTAAATGAATCAGAGGATACAGATTAATTTCCTCTCTTTCCTTGTAATTTTATTCGAATAGAAAATATCGAGGAGAAAATCGAGAAGGAAAAAAAAAAATAGAAAGAAAAAAAAGAATCGTCTCGTTTAAATAATACACTCGAAAGAATAGTTATTTTCATTCATTTTTCGAGGTAAAGGTCTTTGGCACGCACATACGTTACCCAGCCGGAGAAAATTAACGCAATTTATGTTACACATAGGGTATTAACAGGAGCATCCAATAAAATGAAATATTACTACCTCGTGAAATCCGTTACAATGTTTAATAATATACTGTAGTATACGTTGAACGAAATTAATGATATTAATTAATAAATATTAATTTAACAAATCAATTTGTTTTTACCTGTTTACCCTTTAATTGAAACACGAATCAGAAAAAGGAGCAGTGATAATAAAATCGTACGTGTGTGCATCCACATTCATACGTGTTATGAAGATATAAAACCAAAAGAAATTAACTTACGATGAATAGAAATTCGATGAGTTACACAACGAAATAAAATATCGTCGAAGTAGTGGAAGATCGAAAAACAAAAAAAAAAAATAGAAGAGAATAAAATCATAAATATCAAGAAGACATCATATTCGTTTAATATCGTCGAAATTCAATATCGGGGTGTAAAACACACCTACCGACGAGGCACCAATATTTTTTCCCGCGATCTTCTCTTACACCTTAATTATTTCAAATTAAAACAGTTCGAGCGATGATTTACCGATCTTTTAGTTTTTCGAAAATCAAAGTCGTTCGGTTAGGATCGATCGTGGTCGACGAACTCACGCGATTCGATTTTCTTTTCCTTTTTCTCGATGGACGAGAGAAAAACCCGAGGGAAAAAAAAAACCGTCGAAGCTTGAAGAACCTCTGGTGGAACACAAATATCGTGGCGGAGTAAAGAGAAAGAAGAAGAAGAAGAAGAAAGAGTAAGAGAGAGAGAGTTGAGAGCGGGTCTCTTCAGCTATTTTCGTCTTCGAGCCACAAGCCACCCCGCTTTAGCCCCCTCGTATCGAAACCCAACGACCAATCTCTTCTTCTCTCTACGAAAAGATTTGCTAAAGACGAAAGCGTCGTTCTCTCTTCGGCGCCATCGTCTTCTACATTTTTCTTCGTCCTTCTCTTAGCGTGACCCTGAACGTCGTTCAAGAAATTAGAACGATTTCAAAATCTAACTTCTACTATCTCTTTTTAACTTATTTCTACAAAATGATGATTTTTCTCTTTAATCATCGTTAACGTGTCTATTCCGTTTCTTACTTTCTATTATTTCGTTTTATTGAGAAATTTGTTATTTTTTTTTTTATCATTTTCCCCCGATGAAAAATAAAATACTTCTAATCTGTTGAAATCTTTTGATTTAATTCAAACGTAGAAAATAAATAATCTAATGTCCGAAATAAATCGATAAATGTGTTCTATTCGGTATAATGTTTTATAAGAAGCCATAATTAGTAATCAATGTGTACTGTTAATATTGCATATTTTTAGCATTTAATGAAATTATTATTATTTTCTTTATATTCAAAGTATTATTAATATATTGAATATTTTTAACTATAAACTATTGAAAATTCGAGAATTTTTATATCATATTTATTTAACATAGATCATGTGTCAATTTATTTTCAATTCTCGAATTATCCAATAAGAAAGCAGACATATCGCGCGCTCTCACTGTAACTACTGTAACTTGTTTTATTATGGGAACAACCTGAAACTGTCTTCGTAAAGTTTAGACAAGTAACACATATATCGAAATATTTTGTTTACTCATTATAAATTTGTTATACGATTGAAATATTACGCTGACATGTTGGGAAAAATTAAAACAAAACAAGAAAAAGGAGGTTAGGTATTCATATTATTATTCTTAATATAATAAATCTATATCTTTTGACGTGTAAAGTAAGATGGAGGTTATGTTCTCTATGATACAGTTTAAATGTCCTAATCATAACATCATTTAACATTTTTCTAAACTGTGAAATGTCAATGAAAATCTGTTGAATAGTATATATAAGAATAATATTTTTAAATTATTTTACAGAAATTATTGCATACAGTGAAGCAGCTGTTATGAACAATGCTGCTGTTGTTGAATATTGTAGAATATCTATGGCAGCGTTATCAGGAGGCACTGCTGGATTATTAGGTTTAACTGGATTATACGGTTTTGGTTTCTATATTTTTGCAGTCTTTGGATTATGGGTAATATTTAACATAAGTTATATTCTCTCTGTATGTCATGAATATTGTGTTCACGTTACTTATTCAATAAATTATTTCGCAGGCAATGTTACTCTTAAAGGCTGGTGGACAGTGGAAAAAATATTTTATTAGTAGAAGAGATCTTTTAACTAGTGGATTTTTTGGTGGACTTTTTGTATCCTTTGTTATTTGAAAACATAACATCTATACATATTTACAATTCATATTTTCCTTAATAGAATTTCCTTCGCAATTGCTGATTTGAATTCTAAATATTAGACATACGTATTATTTTGGACGTATCCTTTCATAATTTATGAATGATTATTTATCCTAATATTTTTTTATATATGAATTTATTTTCCTTAAATTAAATTAAATAGTTTCTTATACGGTATGGTTCACGTGTATTGAAAAAAAAATATATTAAATATAGATATTTTATAATGAAACAATTGAACAATATGATCCATCATCAAAGATAATATATGTACATAGCCAAGTTAGAAATATTGCTAAAAACATGAACAAAGTATTTGCGTGACAAATGATCAAGTTTGGCACTTGTATAAAACGAATTTGTAACTGGGATACATTTATAAAGTAATAACATTGATTTACTTCACATTCCACATTAAAATAATGAAAATTTTAACAAAGAAGAAAAAAAGTAGAGAGAATTACAGTAAGATGTAATCAAATATTTATTTATCCTGTAGTGCACATAAAATAAATGATAATTGTTTTGTATGTAAAGCCAATTCTTAATCTCAGTGAAAGACCAAAAGACAAATTATAGTTAGAATTATTTAACATATCCAAAGATTATATTAAGTTTTAATGTGATTCAATATATAATCGTTTGAAGAAGTATTGAAAAAGAGAAAACGTAAAATTTTAATAAAAATGTTCTATGGTTACATTTTTTATCTACACAAAAACCTTGTATTTTACTTCATTGCTTACACCGGCAATAAAAGATACTAAAATTATACACAAATGATAGCAGAGAATGTTTTATTGTAGCAATGGAAAGGAAAGCGATGGAAGATATAATAAAATCAGTTAATTATGTACATTATGAATGTACATATCTCCATTTTACAGCAATGCCTATACATATTAGTATATAGACGAACACGTATTTGGAAACAAAAAAATCTCCATAAAAGAAAAAGATGTCTTTTTCAAATTTTGGTCTCGGAAATTTGTTGATCTTCCGATACAATTTCCTCTTGACACTTATCAGTTATATCTTCTAACGGTGAACCTGTTTCAAGTCCTTCCAACTTTCTTTCTTCATCCATTTTCTCGAGCTCTGCCTTACTTAGATGATAAACTATACCCGCTCCGTATCCATCGCCTAATACATTGATAGAAGTTCGTATCCGATCTCTGAAAGTACGTAAAATAAGTAGTACGTGACAAAACGAAAAAGTTTGTATCACTTAGAAATTTGATAAACATTAGAAGAATGTATAAGTAACTTACAATATCCAATCAACAGTAAATAGTAAAGAAATATCGTCAACAGGTAAATTAAGGGCTGTCAATACCAACAACATGGTAATCAATGCAGAACTTGGTATACTTGCCGCTCCTATGCTAGCTAAGGTAGCCGTCAAACTGCAAATAATAATATATATATATATATAGAGAGAGAGTACACTATACGTAAATTTTATATAAACGAAAATATAAATGTACAAAAATTCTCATAAATTTTTCACCTGACTGTTATAACTTCGCCAACACCTAACGGTCGTCCATTCATCTGTGCAATGAATATCGCAGCTATAGCTTCATAAAGTGCAGTTCCATCCATATTTACAGTAGCTCCTACCGATACAACGAACCGTGTAATACGTGAATCAATCTTGTTGTTTTCTTCGAGACATCGGAATGTAATTGGTAAAGTAGCAGCACTAAAAGTCAAGAAATTACATTATTTTAGATCTACTAATGTTCTATACTAATCGATTCATAATTTCTCTTACCTCGATGCAGTTCCCAAAGCCGTAACCCATGCTTGCATCATACCCGCGAAAAAAATAGCAGGATTTTTGCGAGTTAATAACCAAAAGATCATTGGTAACGTAATTATCGCGTGTATTGATAAACCCAATATAACGGTAATCATATACAATCCTAACATTTGTGCAGTGGCAGCAAGATTAACGATAGACATAATTTTTCCTGCTATTAAACACATTATTCCAAATGGAGAGAACCTAAATAAAAGAAAAGAAATGAGAGACGAATCAATATTTTAAATATTTAAACGTTGGAAAAAATTTTTCATTTTTCTCACCAGACAATAATAATACCGACGAACTTCATAACGATTTCGTTGAGAATGACAAAGAAATCAATCATAAGTTTTCCTTTTGATCCTAATTGTCCTGCGATAATACCGAAAGTTATACAAAATATGATCATACCCATGACATTTGTACCATCCCTGTATACCAATATCGGTTCCGAAACATGATGGCTCTGATTCGTGCTTCCAACTACCATTACTTTTTTCTTTACGTACGAAGTTTGAACCTGTTGGAAGCAGGCTTGGACCAGATTTTCTGGTACCATGTTTCTACATATCGAATTGATAGAATAACAACGTCAAGGTATCTTATTTTGGCATTTTTGATAACAATGACCGTAATAGTTCTACCTGACGATATCCAGTAAGGCATCGAGAGTCGAAACTTTAGTATCTTCCGATGACGGCAAAATGATAACATTTTTGATCCTCGGGTCACCAGGATGTATGATCAAAACCATAGCGATACCAATGATAGCAGCAAGAATAGTTGTGGCGGTGTAATACGCGAGAGCCCTGAAACCAATTCTTCCAGAACTTCTGACGTCTAGCTGAGCCATTGCTAGAAAAAAAAAATGTAAAAATGAGACGTCTCCAATGTGAAAAGATGTTTTCTTCAAATTTTGACAGTAATATTTTTATAATAATCTATTATAATTACCCGTTATAAGGGACGAAGTAATCAGTGGCAGAACAAACATTTTTAATAGACGCATGAGAATCTCTCCTGGAAAACTGACGAGCATTATTGACTGGGGCGATAGATCGAGTAATCGACCTAAAAATCCAAGACCCAAGCCGACGAGAACCGCGACGATAGTTAAGACGAGGAGCATGTTTTCAGCCATCCAATCAACCACCTACACCGACGATTAAATGTTACTTCAAGTAGTTCTACAGGAAAATACTGTTTTAATAAATTAACCAATAAGTTCATCTTCGTTATATATAAACGTCAGGAATTCGTTTACCTTTCTTTCGAATAATTGTTATAGTTAATTCGACGAAGATAAGAACTTATTTTGTACAAAGTATAAAGGCCATTTGACGAATACATGTTTATATTTTTATATCCAATTTCGATTACCAACCGCCTGTAATCTATCAAGAGGTGTCACCTCAACTCGCTTTTTGCTTTCAATCTCGCTCTCGGACGGCATCTTCTCGATCTGCTCGGTTCCCGATCTACAAGATTTTCTTAAATAGATAACAATTTGTTAATTGATATTACAATTTGTAAGAAATATTTTTTACGTATGGCCCTCTTTTGCCGGTGGCACGGAAGATCCGCGCAAGACCGCAACGGCACCAGACAATCTCTGTCCCAGCGACATCATTTAAATCTTCAAGGTGCACTGCTTCAGAAATCCTTCGGCTTTCCTTCTCTGGATATCAGGAACGTTAATGAGGATTTTTATCGATGTCATCCCGCTTCTTGCATCGTTGTAACGCGTTCTTTGAAAACGATCCCGATCGTTTTCCCTGTAGCCAGTATCGACAACTGCAATTACGCACACAATACGCATAATTAATCGTAAGATTTAATTGTTGAAATGTTTTTTATCTTTTTTTCAAGTATTTCATTAAATAGATATTCCTTTTATAGATCCAACGACACTTTTATATTTTCTTTTTATATATATATATATATATATATATAGATCACCAAATAAAATTACCTAATAATAATTGAGAAGAAAGACGGTCAATAGAGACAGTCTTTCGTCTCGGAACATACGTAATATTCCTTTACAATCCTCTTCTATGATCGTACTTATCGTTAGTTCGCATCGTTTAACTGACGGAAGATGATCCGCACCTTTAACAAGATCGTCAAGATCGAAACGTCGTCGACTATACACAGTTGCAGATTCACTGCACCGCTGTGCGTTAGATTCGATAACATTCAACGAAATGACATATATTGTCTCGCGGATACGTACATGGGCCTTTTACGCACGATGAACTGCGAACTGAGAAGCTTATGACAGAAATCCTGTGGTTTCGCTAGATATCTCTACGTTGAGATCTACAATCAGGCAGATAATGTGTCCCATCCAGGAAGCCGATTAGAGCACAGGAGAGGACAGAGGAGAAGGTATCCAGAGGGGGACGAGGGGGGGGGGAGTTAGAGAAGAACAGAGAGGGGGTGATGTTCACAGGAAGAAGGCACTCATGAGTGCGGGTCACACGGCACCGAATGAACCGAAGGGAGCAAATGCGACTACGTTTCGGTTGATATAAAAGAAAATATTTATATATATATATATACAAATTTTTATAACTTTTTAAATTATTATGCTTATAAATGAAATTTATTATTGTAGAAAGATTTAGCAACATTCCAACAAGTTTGCTCGCTCTTTAAAAAGAACTTTTCATACGCGAGGACAAGTATCACGATAAAAGCGAGTAAATATATCTTAATTGAAATACAATTGAATGAAAAACGCTGCTGAAATTACGAGCGTTCAAAAACACGCAGTATTATTAACATTAACCCTCTTTCAAGGCTCAAATGCGCCTGAACAATGGCAGTAGTCAAAGCGAGATGAAAAATCACCCACACACGTACGTAATTACGATAATAGTCGCGACACAAATACTCGTCACAATAAATAAGCATCGTAAAATAAGATTTTTCTTCCTTTTTTTCTATTTTCTATAGCAAAGAATCAAAGAATCGAAAATGTTATTTTTCTTATTTTTTGGCACAAAATTGTATTATAACAGATAAGTAAATTCATCGTGAATTCTTATAATGTAAATGTCTTTTACGATAAAAAGATAAAGAAAAGATTATTAAAATTATTTATAATAGATACATGAATCTATTCGATTGACTATTCTTTCAAACAAAATAATTATTTTTGATTTACATTCCAATTTCACTAACCGACGATATTAATACGAATGCTAAAAATTCTATATGCGATTATTTTTGACATATATAGGATGTAACCGTTTATAAGACCCCTTCGTATATCCGTTGGGAAGTAATCTAATTCCTCTAGTAATGACGACTATGGGTGACTATATATAGACCAGGAATAGAGTTCACAGTAGATTATGCAGTAAGTGTAATGCCTTGACATATGAATTTTGCTTTCGTCATATTTTATCTATTACATTATAATAAAAATTATAATCTCTTTCTTATAAAGATAAAAGACCTTTTTTTTTTTGTCGAGAAGAAAATCATTATTAATATTTCAATATATGCTGCACGTTTAAAAAATTGAAAAATAATATAATTGAATATTTGTTTTCTCTAAATATTTGAATTCGTATTTGAAAAAAGAGAAATAAAACAAGTGAAACTCGATGCAATGCTATTGGTCCAAATTCAAAATAATAGAATTGGACATCATTCGTGAAGTGTTCCGAAAATTGTATTTCGCGTACACAAAAACTTTAAAATTTATATATTCATTAAATTTTGATGTAGAGATTAATCTTAGATCTCCTCTATTTAAATCTGAATCTGTTATTAATCATTTATTTATATTACATTGACCTATTTTCGTAAGTAATTTATTATGAACGATGAGAATGAAAAGAACCAATCATTAACGTGGAATATCTCATAAGTTACTTGCGCTTTGAAATAAGTCAGGCGCGTGCGTCGTGCTCGAAAGAAATATCATTACCAAATAAAAACATGTTTCAGAGTAATTCGCGTGAGAGATATTATTTTTACAATAGTTTATCTATCTTATTGAAAGCTGTTGAAAATAAAGAAACGACGATAGATTTGAGAAACGAAGCTTCGGTTTATGGCACCGTGGAACACGTGGATGCGTACGTCAATGAAGAATTTAATTTTCAACTTGTTTATTATATTCATCGTATATTTTTACAGATCTATGAACATCGTAATGAAAGATTGTTTATTTACCGATCCAAGAGGTGATAAATTCCCTTTCGAAATGTTTTTTGTTCAAGCAAGAAACATACGATTCGTACAAATACCACCTACGGTGAGTCCCTTTAAATTTTCCCGCAATTTGTTTATTGATCTTGATTAATACTTGTTGATTGATTAATCGTCAATATAATGTGATAGGGATATATGCGGTTTTAAACAATATTATGTTTAACATAATTAATTAACGAGGTATTTATCATTTTATTTAAGGAGAAGAATTGTTTTCTAATTCCTAGGTTATGTTTCGTATAGGGAATAAATGATATTATTTATAATTTAAAAGTGATAATCAAATTTACATTTTTCAAATTATCTATATCCCGAAACTGCTGAGATAAAAAAACTATGTTAGTAGCAATAAAATATTAATAAACCAAATAGTATATCTCGAGTCATTTTTATAGGATCTAGTATTTTTTATTTGAGCAGATTGGCTATTGCTATTTTATCTCGTGTACAATTTCTGTACATCAAATATTTAGTCGTGATCAAATTTAAACAAAGTATTTTATCTTCTAGTATAAAATACACATATATTAGATTAATTTAATTAAATTATTATATATTTTTATTTAATATCACGTAATATTGTGATAACGCTTGATAGATATGTTAAAAAATGTCAATTTTTATCGTATAAGTTTACAATTTCAATCGTTTACAAATAATTTTACGTACGACAGGATAAAAAAGCAAAATTTATTTTGTTTCATTGTTAAAGATTTTTATTATATTAAATGTGCTTCATTTAAAACGTTTAATTCTGTGTCTAAAGCAAATATGAGTGTGTTCAAAATATCTGATTATGACTGTATCGGTTTTGATTTGGATAACACTCTTTTAAAATATAAAATAACGAATCTAGTGCATTTGGAATATGAAATATTAGCTAATTACTTAGTGAGAGAAAAAGGATATAATAAAAGATATTTATTAAATCCATTAAACGACAAGGATTTTGATTTTATGCAGAAGGGCTTATTTCTAGACTTTGATAGAGGAAATATACTTAGAATAAGTCCAGATGGTAAAATTCAGAGAGCCTGTCATGGTACTAAATTAATGAGTATAGAACAAATTAAAAAAATATATCCTGAACAACGATGGGACATAATGGATATATTTTCCAACGATATGCTTGCTACTTGGAATGAACCATTGTCTATGAAAATGCGAGCTCTGTTAGATTATTTTGATATTCCATGTTCTCTTATTTTTGCTAGAGCAGTAGATGCGTTAGATGAAGAAAATGGTAAACCATTAGATGTATATAATATATGGCCTGATATGTTAAACGGTTTAATTTGGATGTATGATACTAAACAGTTTGAATTAGACGAAGGGGAATTTTTTCCTGCATTAAAAAAAAATCCAGAAAAATATTTACATAAATGCAACCCCGATACGATATCCTGGATTCAGGAAATGAAAAAGGATAAAATAACTTTCTTGATTACTGGATCGTATATTGATTTTGTAAAGCTAACTGCAACTTATGCTCTTGGGGAGAATTGGAGATCTTTGTTTGATATTGTTATTTGTTATGCTAAAAAACCAGGATTTTTTATAAAAGAACAACCCTTTATGACTATAGCTAATAGTAAGGAAATTGATATTATATCATGCGATGAATTAGTAAGAGGCAGTATATACAGGTATGGCAATTGGAACGGTCTTTTAAAGTTTTTTAGTAGAATATCAGGCAAACAAAATCCACGTTGCATATATATTGGAGATAATCTTATACAAGATGTTTATGTACCAAAAGAATATGCTAATTGTGATACGATAGCACTCGTAGAAGAACAAATGTCTGAAGGCATGATTCATCAATTTTTATCACATCCGGATGACAAAATCTTAAATTCAACAATTTGGGGATCTTATTTTTGTTTAAAAGATACAGCACTTAATGTCGATTCCTTTTGGGGTCACATAATTAAAAATTATTCAAAAATATGCATACCTAATTTAGATTTGATTACAAAAAAAGATGCTCCAAAGTCTTTTACACATTTTAATAAAGATAAGAAAGATTATAGTGGGTACTATCCTGCTTTACCATTAAGTATATCAATTTCATAATCTACCCAATATAATATTTGGATAATTTGCAAATTTAATAATAATAGGTAACTATAGTGTTACGAAATAAGTAGTCACATATTATTGACCATTTTCTTTGATGTTTTACAGTGTTAGGAAATATATTAAACATGATGATACTTTTATATTTATATAAATTTAAGGTGCGGATTATACCAGCTATCAAGGATCAATTACAACAATTAAGTCAACGCATAAGTAAAAAGAAAGATGCAAAACGAACTTATAAAGAAAAACGTGCACAATTAAGACAACAGGAAGGAATTCTTGCAGTACAAAGTATCTTAGAAAAGAAAAAAGCAATGGAGTCTACAAATAGCGAAGATGAATAACATATTTTAGAATTATTTCTAGCTTTTATGACTATTATAATTAATTATTTACTATTTATACAGTACACATATTCTTTAAACATGCAAACAAACATGTTTAATTTATGAATGTATTTATATTTTTTATTTCACTTATAAAAACATATGGAAAAAAAGTGAGATAAACATTTTGTATTACGCAAAAGCAATATAAATTTACAATATACTATGCATAATATTTTTAGAAAAATAGGTCAAGTATAGTGATATTATAAAATAAATAAATTCATTTGGTGGGATTGTATTTCCATAAATATTGCAGTTACATATAAGCAAATTTTATGTATAGTTAAAATAATGGTAAAAGTGAGGTATAAATAATGTTTATTGCATAATTAAATGCTTGTAAATATGTAGCTACTTTTTACATTAAAGATTGAAATATTATCAATGTATGCACGTTTCATTGATATATATAGATATTTGATTTATTGAACGAACGTCTTTATATATATGGATAATAATATTTAGTTTGTTATTAATAACAAGTATGTTAACACAGAAATAGGCAATACTTCTTTTCCAACATATTTACATACTTTTAATACATATAAAAAAGTAATAAAGTTTATATTAAATCTGTCTAAAAGAAGGCACTCTGAAATAGTTCATTAGATTGGAAGAACCATCAGCTCAGCAATATTAGTTTGGATAATAAGTAGAAAAATAGTGAGAAGTCTTCATTTAGTTATTTATAGACAAAGCTGTGCCTTATTAACTGTTATTACGCTTTTCCATAATTATATTTTATATAATAATGCAATATTTGTAAGTGTTTGCAACTCGTTCTCAAATGTTTTTCCTAAGATCAAATATTGTATAATTAAGATAGTATATTGTACACTAGAGATTTCAGCCAACATTTTTTGAATTATATTCAGCACATTTGATATATATTATAAATAATTTTGACTACCACAAGTGCATGCATATGATTTTTGTCATATCAGTCATCACAGTCCACAGCTATCTTCGTTATTTAAATATTGTAAGTTCATAGTTGATGAATAATTATTCAACTATATATTTATATTTTAATTTTAATAGATAAATAGTAATAGTAATATTTAAAGTTCTCTTTTTCCCATACACCTTAAAAAATTCGCGTAATATAAAATTAAAAATTTTCATAATAGTGAATAATAGAAATAATCAATATAAACTGTTATTTTCTTTCTATAGCTATGGCAATGCCCATTCCTCCGCCAATACACAATGATGCAATACCTTTTTTTCCTCCTGTTTGTTCTAATGCATGAATCAAAGTTACTAAAACTCTAGCTCCTGCAAAAAAATAAATTTACAATATAGTATAATGAGTACTTTCATTATTCTATTCATTATTATAGTTTGTGATACACACCAGAACATCCAATAGGATGACCTAAAGCAATAGCACCGCCATTAACATTAACTTTACTAGGATCTATATCAAGTTGCTTAATACATCCCAGTGCTTGTGCAGCAAATGCTTCATTCAATTCATAAAGATCTACCTCATCTTTACTCCACTTAATTTTTTGTAACTGAAATATAGGAATAAAATAAAATTCGCGTTAGGTAAAAATAAATTATTTCTTTTTATAAAAAATATATGATTTACAGTAATGAAACTCACAAGTAATTCAATCGCTGGTACTGGACCAAGACCCATGACACGTGGTTCTACTCCGCTTTCAGCTATTCCAACAATTTGAGCTAAAGGTTTTAAGCCTCTTTTGATTGCTTCTTCTTTTGTCATAATAAGTACTGCTGCTGCACCGTCATTTATACCAGATGCATTACCAGGAGTAACAGTTCCATTAGTCTAAAAATGATTACAACATATATCTTTCTTTTTTCTTTTCTATTTGTATTTGTATTTGGTATTATAAGATATACTTTTAATACCTTAACAAAAATAGGTTTCAATTTAGAAAGATCGTCAAAAGTAGTTGCAGGTTTAGGAAATTCATCTTTAGATATAAGAGTAGTTTCATTTCTATTTACTACTGGTACAGGAACAATTTCTTTATCAAAGTATCCTGCTGAAATGGCAGTAGCTGTTTTTTGTTGGGATAAAGTTGCATAATGATCTTGTTCTTCTCGAGTTATTCCGAGATCCTTCGCAATATTTTCAGCTATTTTTGAAAATCATTAGAAATATGATTTTTATTTAAGATTACATGTCTCGTATATATAGAGATTTTCATAGATCAATTTTTATTTTGATATTTTAGATTTACCTGTTACTCCCATATGAGCAGAAGTAAATGCATCAGTCAATCCATCATGTAATAATGTATCAATCAAATTACCATCTCCAAGTTTGATACTATTTCTAAGATAAATTGAGTGTTGTGCTAAACTCATATTTTCTTGACCACCAGCTACAACAATATTACTTTCTCCACTTTTTAAAGATAGATAACCATTTGTAACTGCCCTGATAAAAATAATCATCGAATGAAATATTTAAATAGTATGAATAGATAAAAAAGAATTTTTTTGAGTTAAATATGAGAATAAATAAAGAATAAGTAAGATGACTTTACGTCTATAAATAGAGCCATATTAAAATACAATAGGTTATTCACAAAAAAGACTTGTATAATAATACTCACTTTAGTCCAGAACCGCATAACATATTAAGTTGATAAGCAGGAACACGTATTGGAAAGTCTGCTTTAATAGCTGCCTGCCTAGCTGGATTTTGTCCTTGGCCTGCTGTTAATGTCTATAAAATATAATACTATAATATAAAATAATTCAACTAAAATATATATATTCGTAAGAAATATTACCTGTCCCAAAATGACTTCGGACACATCGGATGGATCTACATTTACTTTTGCAAGACATTCTTTAATAACAATACTTCCTAGGTCTGATGCCTTTAATGAGGATAAGTTTCCACAAAAGGATCCTTTAAAATAGAACATATACAAAATATTAAGAATACGTTTTATAAATTCAACTCACGTTGAACAGAAAATATTGAATTAAAAAATGAAATAATTGTCTTAGAGTAAGTAATATCTTTTTTATATTAAAATAAAATGTACAATTAAGAACAATGAAACAATACCAATAGGAGTTCTGACAGCAGATACGATAACCACGTCGTGAAAATTCATGTTGTACGTTTTTATTACTCGTAAGCGTTGGAAACACTCAAAGGAACACCGTTCACTACGAACGAAACTAACGGAATGTTATCGGATATACAGCCTACGTGGTGGACATTAATGATATGTAGTAGTTGGAGTGATGGGAGGCTGGAAAACTACTGAGCAACGTGGTGTGTATCAATGCTTATATAACATGCTCCCTAATCGGGTACTAATAGAAATTTGGTTCTCTGAGTGACGCATTTCAGTCGAATCTTTATTAAATTTAATCAAATGACCTTGTACGAAAATAAACAAAAAATATTAATAATATAGGATATACATCATGATTCATGAAATTAATTTAAATATTTGATATAAATTTAAAAAATATTATTTTCGTCATGAATTTATTGAAATATAACAAACTCAATGAGAAATAAAGTAGGAGCATGTTTTAAAAATATTTTATGTGAGATAACAGGTTTTAGATTTATAACGGTAATAAAATCGACGTAATCAAAAATACACGTGTGCAGGTAAATCGTCGATTTCTTTATGTTGTTGACGATCGTTCGAATGACAATAATTCATCATTCAAATTTGTTTTAATAATGAGGAGAAGATTGCGCTTCGAGTATAAGTTTCATTCTCACGTATTGGTGGTGGGGTGGGGGGATGAGAGATGGAAGAGATAGAGCGAGAGAGAGGAATGGAGAGAAAGGGTAACGATGACGTCACCAGTAGTAACAAGTAGTGCCGTTTGAGGCGTCACAATCGAAATTCACGAATGCAAGTAACAGCAGATAGAGGCGCTACCGTCGACGCGCCTCTCAGTGCTGCTCGTTTGTTTTTACCCAGCGTGCATTGTGACCAGTGACTGGTGCTAAGATGGCCGACAACAAGGAGGAGATTTCGGAGCTCATCGACAAACGAGGTACTTATAAGGCTAAATCTTTGTCATTAAACGCGATGACGAGAAAAGGCGGCGCGTACGATCGACAAGGCTCGCATGGTTGTTTTCCCGTTTGCGATGGATTATGCGAAAGCTACGAAAGGATCCACGCCATCTGCAGGTCGTGCAGCTCGCCGGAGAGTGCCTGTCGAAATAGATAGATAACGGTCAGATCGAGAAAAGATATTCACCACAAATTGCGTGCGTGATAATGAAAATACAAATGAATCTTCGAACGTTGTTAGTTTAGTTCTTTTCATTTCGAGTTTTTTCTTTTTTTTTTTTTCCTTCTTATTTCCGAGTTTTTTTCCGTACGAACGTCGATCAGCGATACACCGTTGAAGGCGTGACCGTCGGTGCAACATCGTCGTCGTCGTCGTCGTCGTCGTCACCGTCACCGCTGTCGTTGTCGTTGGTGTCGTTTTCGTAGGCTTTTCGTTGATGACGACAACGAGGACGATGTCGAGAATGGATTAGAAATGGTAGGGTCGGGGGAGGGAGGTGTAACTTTTTGACAGGCCGAAAGCACGCCGTGATATCCATCCTCCTCTTCGTGTCGTTGTTGCGCGCGTTAACGACAATGACACGACGAAGAAACAACGATGACCACGACGGACACACGTAGATGCAGTCGACTCGTCCGTTTCTTTCTCTCTCTCTCTCTCTCTCTCTCTCTCTCTCTCTCTCTTTCTTTTTTACTTTTTTTTCCTCTCCTTCCCCTATCGTCCTATTCTATTTTCTCGACCCCACTCCGTGTTCATTCGAAGCGCGACGTGCACGTCGCGTGTCGTTAAGGTCGTGCGTCTACGGCCTTGCAATTCTCGAACATAGACCCAAAGAAAGTATTACCGTTTACCGTTATTCTCCATCCACGCGAATTTCCCATCAGTTCAAGATACATCTATATAATCTATATGGATGATCTACATAATTTCTCTTTAAGAGACATACGGCGCATCTCGGTGTGTTGCATCCGCTAGCTAGCTAGGATTCGTTAACGCGCTACTTTCAACGACAGCGTGCATCTAATGCTGCTGTTGCTGCTAACTTACTCTGCTGGTGGTGCCTGGTGCCTACTACTGCTATTGCTACTGCTACTGTTGCTGCTGCTGCTACTGCTATTACTACTACTACTACTACTACCAGGAATTAGATCGAACCGCAACATGCGATGCACCGAACGAACGAGTGCATCTTTTAAAGCGAGAAGAAAATTAAACTCTTTCGTTCCCATTCTTAATCGTATTTCTACATTTATATACACGTATATATGTATAAGCGTACATATACTTACTTATTAACCTAAATTCTAAGTACAATTTATACGACTATTTAACTCTTGCACTTGTATTATATATATATATATATATACGGTTAACGTTTTCTTCGAGACTATTAAGATCGGACTCTTAAACACACGTCTCGAATGCTGCCGACGTTTCTTCCTCCAAACGCATTGGTCTATCGGTCCTCGAGTCTTATTTATAGTTCGCAGAATGCGTTTCGATTCCATGCCGGTTTTTTTTTTTTTTTTTTTTATATCTATTTTTCTCTCTTCATTTCTTTATTTCCTTCTTTCTTTCTCTTGTTCTTGTTCTCTCGTGTCACTTGCGATTCGATCTAGTTATGTGCGAATACTTTCTACACGTTGTTCCTCTTTAAACGAAAAAAAAAAAAAAAAAATTGTTCATATAACTGTTATATCGAACGATCCTAACAAATTCCATGTAACACCCAATGGCGCACCCATCATTTGCGTGACTCGAGGAACGATCATAGTGTTCCGATATTTCTAATATTTTACGATTTTCATACGACGTCCTTTGTTTTATCGATCCCCCCCTCCTATTATTATTATTATTATTATTATTCTACTTTGGATCATTAAATCACAAATCTCTTTTATATTCTCGTGTTGTTATAGATTTTCACAATCGAACGAATAAAAATTCTACATAATTTCGTGCTATAATGTTGCAGATAAATTTTACAACACACCTTATACAAAAACCTAGGGAATACTTTTTTTTCTTTTTTACCAGACGTTTTGTTTTTCTCTCTCTCTCTCTCTCTCTCTTTGTTTTTTTTTTTTTTTTAGACATTTTTACCCACTTTACCTTCGTCTTGCAACATAACACGACAATGTACCGTGATTCGTGCATCTTTTATAAGTCACCACGGGTATATGTTTATCTCCTGAATATTTTTGTTTTCGTTTGCAACACAATGTGAACTCGCGTGGGAGTGGGGTCAATATAAGCCGGCACGATGCTTCTATCAATTATACCATAGGCCCGTATCGCGCTATACGTAATATACGTTCTTCTTTTATGCACATGTGCTAATTATTATAACATCGTTACATAAGTTTTTTTTTTCGTTGTAGCTTGTCATCGTCGTTTCATCTCATTCTATCTACGAAAAGATTTCGTTTTATTTTTTAGTCAAAATTCATTAATTAACATTTATATTAATTTGATTATATATCACGTCAAATAAATTTTTAATTGGGGGGGGGGGCGGGGGAAATGAGGCTTGGGAAAAGTATCTTATTTGTTAATACTTTTTTTTTTACACGCGTTACCATTAATGATGCTTTATATGTGGAGTAATGACTAGTAAATTCGAAAGTTATTTTCTCATAAAAAAAGAAAAAATGAAAATGCCGTTAGTGAACTTTGACTGAACGTAAATGATTTAATTTCTTAATTCGAAACATTGGACTCGATAAAATAGCATTAGGAAAGTTTTTTTTTTTTTTTTTTAGATCGAACCAGATTATGCGCACGATCGTTTCGTCGAACCCTAAATGCTCGGTTCCGGTGCGGGAGATCATTCTCTCTCTCTCTCTCTCTCTCTCTCTCTTTATTTTTTCTACCATACGCACCTAACAATAGTTGGAACACTGACCTAGAAATCGTTTATAATTCGTTGTTGCTCCTGCTTTATTTGCTTGTGAAAAAATTGCACACGTTAAATGTAAAAATGACAAGATTCATTATTAACCAACCTTTTTTATTTTTCTGTTTTTGTTCTATTTTGTTTTTCTTTTTCATAAATAGGATATCGCATGTGATTATCTTAAAAATTTATGCTAAACACAAGTCGTTGGTCACGTACACATGAGTTGACTCGTCAACGGTTATCAGCTGATGTCAAGTTGATGTGACTTTTTTTTTTTTTTTTTTAACATTTACTAGTCAATTTCACATACGTGTTAATTCTTACTGCAAGGCATTCGTCATTATCTAACATCTTAGGAAATTATTTGAAATATTTATTATTAACATTTTTCTATCTGCAAGAAAGAAGTGGGTCCCCTATAGTAAATGAGAATCCTTGTATAAAACGTGCGACCGTCAAAATATTAATGCGAGTTATTTCGAATAGTCAAGTACATTTAGATCTAAAGGTTTTTAATCTTGAGATCTTAAAGGTCGTCCAAGTAGACCTTTGATCTCTTACGTGTAGTTTAGAATAAGATCTACGTTTCTACATTTTATCATTCAGAAATTATTTCTTTCAACAAGCTTGCCAACTCTTACTATACTCGTTATAAAAATACGAACACGATGTTAATATAATTTAAGTGTAATTTTGTTCATGTAATTATGAACTTTTTTTTACGCATTTATTATATTTTTTATATATGAATATTCAGAATGTTCTAGGAGGTGTTTCTGTTAAATTTTACTGATACATTACTATAATAAAGATAATGAAAAGAAGTTCATTTAAATCTGGGTCTAGAATCGCTTTGTTTTCAAGTCACAGTCAGTTAAAGATTTTCTCATTTATTTTTGGTCTAAGAGATAAAACAATGCTGTACTCCAATTCTTTGTAAGTCTAAATTTGTGACTTTGGATATAATTTTATATAAAAAAATGTTGTATAAATTCGTTCCTTTAATGTAACACACTAAATACTTGAAATTATTTTCTCTATATATATATATCAGTAATTTTAATTTTTAAACAGAAACGTATTAAACTTAATCACCCTGTATTATAATTATTATCAAAAATATTATACTCATTTAATCTTCCAACATATTATCTCTAGATTTAGACACTTATAAATTGCCTTTGATTCAGTACAGCACCGCTTTGTTATACCTTCGAGATCAAGAAAACAGGTGAAGGGGGGGACAAAAAAATCAGTGACCTACTATATAACTCAAAAAAAAAAACAAATCGTTTACGGAACCTACGTTTATACGAATCTTAATTTGATCTCCACTACAATCATAAATATATATTAAATTTAATAGATATTTCATGAATACATCCTATACAATCGACAATGATGATAATTCCTATATATATA